TTATGTTTTCATGCTGCTTCAGAAGCTGTAGAAACAGAAACATGAACAACAGAATTGTTATTTTTCATGACCACTGAATTGATTCACAACAAACATTAACAGAAGGGTTATTTTTTAGCCCACAGCTGCCCACTCAGGCAAATATCAATTTACATCTCACACAATAAACAAATTTGATAATTTAGTCACTACTCTGAGTCAACACTTATAAATATATTGTCAATACAAATCTAAAGTTGTTTGTTTGGTGTGGAATGAATTTCCACACACGTGTTAGATATGAAAAAAATAAAATAACAAAGCTAATGGATTCTAAGCTGCCCCTAGTTCTTGTAGAGACTCTAAAACTAACACAATTGGGGTACACATAAACAAAATATACGTTTTAAGAGTAAGCGTGCTCTTTCAACATTGTATTGAAGTGACGAATATATAGCAAATTGCAACTGTCAATATGTACGAAAGAACAACTGAGTCACTATGTCATATCCTATTTCTAACATATAACATACAAGATAACACAATTTTCAATTAAGAAAGTGTCTGACGTAAGTTGTAAGTTAAAATACGGCGTGTGACTAAAGTGCTCAGTGTATCCTAAAAGTCCTCAAGAAATCGTAAAAAAATTCTCATAGGTGAATAATACAAACCCACATTTTTACCCCCTCGGAAAAAACTTACTGTAATAATTTTTGTGTAGGGATGTAGTACTGAATCAGATTGTAGTTTTAAATATGTGGCATATGTTAAATTATAATTAAAATTATATCCTGTTCTTAAACATGTTTTACAAATTATGATTTTTGTTACTTTCACTGTTTACTTTTTGTGGTGTACGACATTCTGTTGATATTGATCCGTTTTAATATATTTTTAATGTTGGGATAATTTAAAAAACGAACAATAAGATCACCGTTTAATATATTTTTGTGGCAAACTTTTACCCAATGGGAATCTGTAATATAATATCTAAACTGGACTGACTAACTTAATTTATGAATGTTATATAAATTTAGTATAAATAAATTTCCGTCTTTAGATACAACTTTTATTGCACATAAATTATTATAATTCTGTATATGCTTATATATACAATATTTAAATTTGTATTTACTTATTTCACTAGTCAGGAATTCTTAAGTCATCTACAAAAAGCTTATTAATATTTAATTCCCAATAAATACAGATGTTTTGATAATTAATACAAAAAATATAGCTGCAACCTAAGTTTGTAAAGTAAAGCAATAAAGTAAATGACCATGAAATGGTACAAGAACTTCCAAGTATTTATTGTAAATTATCTGATACCTTAGCCACTTCTAGCCCTTTAATGATGTACATTTTCATTGGGTTTCGAATTTAACTAATATACTGTGTGATATAATATCGCTTATTAGAGAAAAAAAACATCGCCGTCATTAGCTATTTTTATTCACGATGAATTTTGACAAGGAGGTCCTGCAGGTTTTTTAACCTAATAATTAGCATGAAACAACATTGAATAATCGCAGATACAAGCAATAAATATTTTGTTTTAAACTTGTTAATTAATATTGTATTCTACTTGAACTTGGATATTCATGGTCTAATATATACAAAATTAAAAAGATTATTTTTAGCGAACCAATAAGTTGCCATATTTGGTTTTCGACAGATGTCTACGATTAGAAAAAAAATACTGGAGTTAAAATTTATAGTATGCAACGTCTCACTTTGATCAGTCTCACCTCTATTTCATAAGCCGTCAAGGATTTTAAAAATTGGTAGTAACTAATTACTAGTTTTAATTCTAAATATTGCTTCAGATTAAAAAGGTCAAGCGTTAAATTTAACTTTCAAAATGTACCAAAATAATTGTGTACATTTATATCAGGTTCATCTAACAAACAGTGTATAAAATAAATTTCTCTGGTATAACATTACCTAATTATTTACTTCAATTCTATCACATATATTTCTCTTTATTTCCAGTTACGTTTATAATAAATACCATTATTTGCTTTAGTTAAGTGATTCTTTATTGCTGAAAATATTCCGTTAATAAAAAGTTTTGTCATTTTAATGTACTATAAGTACTTTGCAAATAACTAAAATTTGGATTTTCCCAGCTGAAGCTCGGTGATCACGATCTATTTCTCGTTGTGATGGCCAGAGACTTCTTGGAACCAGTAAACGATGACAAAAATATTACACAAACGCGTTAAAAAAATTAGAAGTAGGGGTCTAACCAAAGGTCGATTTTCTCTGAAGCGCCTTGATATGTTATTAGAATCCGAGAAATAGCGTGTTTGTTTACGTTTTCCGGAATATTTGTAAATAAATTGACTAAATAAATATTCAATTCTTTTAATTTTAAAGATGTAATTCCTTTTTATTAAAAATTATTAACTACATTATTGTTTAAAACCGGAAAAACGTTGGTATGTATATTTATACGGCTAGTTTAGACAACAAATATTATACATATATAGCCACATCATATTCTTAAAGTTAATTTACACCTCGGAGTTTAAAAAAATAGTACCGCATCAACAATATAAACGCATCCGCTTGCGTGAGCGAAAAATTTAGGATCATTTAACTGCAGTGTAAATTTTCCTAACACGTAAAATTATATAATTTAAAATTAACCTGTGTTTGTTCAACTGGTTATTATTATTACGTATTCATCGAAAAATATATATCTGTAATGAATTGAGGAAACATTAGCACTACGTAAATGTATTCATACTTACAATGTATAGATAATTGCAAGTACTCGTCTTATTGTTAAATTACTGTAATATTTTATTAACAAAACATAGTTTACATTAATTCCGTAGAAGTAAAATGTTTCTCCGTATCAATAAAATAAATCTGACACAAATTGTTTATTAATCACCTTGATATAGTATGCCAAAAATAATAGACGGTGTTACGTAAACCGCATTGTATATGTAAATAACTTGTCGATTAAAAAAATACATAAAAACAATCAGTTGTACCGAATTATCTCTTAATCTATTATTTTATAACAACCGAAAAGGTCAAAAAAATGAGTATACCTACTCAGGTGACATGTATATATCGTTTAATAAATCAAATGGAACAATTTAAACCAGTTATATTAATTAATTAATTAATTAATGATTATATGAGATGCGAAATTCCACTTTCATAACGATTTTAACCTATCGGTTAGGAAAGAGCCAAGCATATGGCGCCATGTTACTAAAATCTGGAGCTGTCCCGATTTTACAACAAGGAGCACATATCACGCCGTGACAGACCATGCCGGACAGAAATTATTTCAAAATCAGAATTTAAACAGAAGTGCATGGTACACCAGCGTGAAATAGTTGCCAGTTCACTGTTCATTAAAAATATCGGACCTTTCTAATAAACTACGCCAGGGTCTGACTGGCCTCGGCAATTTGTGCGATGTTTTTGCTCCCTTCGAAATTAAATGTTTATTCTTTTGTATTTTCTTCGATCGCGGGAAATAATTAATCGGAAAAACATGAATTTTACAGATATCTAGGATTAAATTAAAACAACAAATCGGATCATTCCACAACAAAACGACGTAAAGATCTCTAAGCTGAAGAAAAACTAACGAAAATGCTATTTTTTAAATCTAATATTGCTAAATTTTCTTAAATTAAAGACATACGATTCTGCTGCTTCATTTTTTTTAATGAATATTTGTTCCCGAAAAGATCTAGGTACCGCAATCAAGAAAGTACACCAAGATCATTAAAGATTTCATAAAGTAATAATATATTCGAATATAATAGGTAATGTTTTCCTGCAACAAAAAACACTTTTTTCTACAAAACTGTTAAAAGTGAGCTTTTTAATTGTCATTTTTGATGTTAAAAATGTCATTTTTTGACACGCGTGTTAAAAGTAAGTTACTTTTAACACTAGTTTGTCAAATTCACTTAAACGCCATATGAAGGTATCAGAGACAAATCGAGTAAATTTTATTCATTATAAAATCAACCGTTCTAATAGTCCAATTAACTAAGCCTTTAAATCGAAATTTTGTCAACTTGGCTGAATTTTTTATATGAGTTAGTTTAAGGTATATACCTTATTGTTATAATATATAACAATAAGTGAGAGTAATTTTTTGTTCAACCCCCGGCCAAGGGTGGAAAAAGATAAAACAAAGGGCTTTTTCAAGATAACTCAAAAAGGGTAAGAGCTAGGAAAAAAAGTTTTTCATGAAAGTTGTAAAGCAGACATTTCTACATAAAAATGGTCTCTTAGCTTTTTCTTGTACTATTAAAATTAACAGAGTTAGGGAGGCTAGAAGTTAAGGGAAGATTTCAGAAATTTAATTTTGTTAAATCATTAAAATTAACGATTAAAAATTTGATTTTTTGTTATAACTTTCTTATTAAAAATTAAAAAAAATATCTATTTCTCTGAAAAGAAAAGTTACATATTTTAGAGCAGATTGAAAAAAAAAATTACAAAATTCAATAATTTTTCTGTTCGTTATGATTTTTTTTAAATTTTATTTTATTTAATTTTTAAATTAAAAAAAACTTTTTTTTCTAGCTCTTACCCTTTTTGAGTTATCTTGAAAAAGCCCTTTGTTTTATCTTTTTCCACCCTTGGCCGGGGGTTGAACAAAAAATTACTCTCACTTATTGTTATAAAATACCTTAAACTAACTCATATCAAAAATTCAGCCAAGTTGACAAAATTTCGATTTAAAGGCTTAGTTAATTGGACTATAAAACTAATTGGATATTGGACGATAACATGTTGCTTCAGATTTTTAGCCCTGCAGTGTGGGCGAGTCCATCACTGACAAGACCTACACCACCGGCCGGTTCAAAGATCGAACCCATAGCCTTCAGGCGGTATTTCCACACCACCCAGTCCTTTCAGTAAAATAAAATGTCCACTTCTACCGAAGCATATGCATTTCATGTCTCGCTGATTTCAGTCGATGCCAAAGTCGGTGGTTGATTGCAGTTTTAGAGCGGCGGCGGGCCGAGAGATTCGGCATCAGAGCAATGATATTGCAGCGTCCGCTTGGATTGTGGTAAGGTGATGCGGTGCTCGACGCTTGATTCTTCAGTGACTTCAGCAGAAGACGTCATATCCCCACCACGCGAGGGACGCGTAGCGTCGCGTGTTCTTTAAAACCGTTCGGGGATACTTTTTAGCTCATTATTGAAGAAAAACTATATTGTGCTAATACCGCCGTTCGGTATATGGTGAAAAGTGTACACCATTTGAGGACTTTGTGTATTTACTCACCAGTGATATTGTTGGTGCGAGACGGAACTGGAATTTAGTTGTAAACATGACGACGGAAATCAGATATAAAATAAATGGACGTAAGTATACTTTTTGAAATGCTTGTTGTCCAGTTTGTTTAAATACGAAGAGCTCGAACACATTTTTCGGTAGTAGAATAGTCAGATTACACAGAAGTGCATTCAAGTTATATTTTTTTGCCGAGTATAACATTCAATACAATTTTTTTTTTCAAGAAATATTAATGACTATAGGGACAAGAAACCTTTAGATTTTTTTTTAGTAAATAATTTTAATAGCATTTTTTTTAATAAAGGAAATAAAATATTTTTTTTAAGTAGTAATGAATAATAATACGGGCCTATTTAACATTCTGGTTGTGTTTATAGATCCCATTTTTATTCTCGTTGCATCACAATTGAATAATTTGATTCATTATGCGAATCTAGCGATATCTAAGCTGTCGTCAATAGGCTCGATTTACTAATTATGATTCAGACACCAGCCAAGGAAGCGATATAAGCGTCTGTACAAATATTTTTGGAATAAAATAAAGTAAAATAAATATTTTTCCTGCAAACAATCCATAACCTCCTAATATTTTTGTCAGTAAAACTGTTTTTATTTCTGATGGTGGAAAATAATAAAAATATTTTATAAATTTGTATCTGTTATTTCTTTTCTTCCGTAACAATTCATTTAGAGATTTTGTGTTGTCAAGCACTTATCTATTTTTTTTCTTTGTAATTGAAACTGACGAAGGTCGATATATTTTTTGCTCGAGGAAATGTTTCTGTCCACTTTTATTCGATACTAAATTTAAGTGTTTTAATGGTCAACAAAGAAAAGTAATTGTAGAGTTTTTTCCTATATTAAGTGCGTTGTTTCTGAATATACATATATCCAGTGAAATATTGATCCCAAAAGTAAAACTTAACGGCTGACATAAAATTAAATAATAACTAGAACTAAATTCAGTTCCATTTTCCAAAAACAAGGATTCGATGATTGGGGCAAGGAGTATCTAACACTTGATTTATTAAAAATTAAACAGAATGTGTTACATAAGGTCAAAACAAGATGAAGCGACTCTATCGGCCTCCAAACTGAATAAAATATATATTATACACTTGTGTCAAGACCGAGGTTGACTACAACGAATCTCACTCTTCCTTGTTGACATTTTCTGTACAATTTCATCAAATGATCCCAATATTATATTTCTCGTGAGTGGATTCTACGTCTTGTCGAACTTTTGTTTGTTCAAAGAATTAACATTACTGAATAAAAAATAAGTCCTCACCTCAACAGGTGAAGTTGTGCAAATCTATACATGTTTAGCAGAAATTGGAAATGATTATTAGCTTGATAAACATTTCAATAACGGCGATAAAATATGTCGGAAGTAACATTGGGCGAGGAAAGATGTAACACTCCATGAATGTAATGAGACGATTTAAAGGTTAACGGTTTGTTTTCAATTGGGGGATGGTTCAAGGGTTGTCGAAAATGTGGAAAAATTATTTTGTGTTGTGCTACTTTTTTTAAAGACAATTTTTTTGTTATTTTTTATTAAATTTCTAATGTAAGTTTTGGAGCATACTTTTTCAAATTTCTTCTTCGATAAGATTTACAAAGAGTAAATATAAAATAATAAATATTTCAATTATACTCTTTCACAGTTAACTAAAGCTAAATTACGAATTATAGGTTTATGAAAAAAAAAAAAACACTACAATGAAAATCGATTATTCACAGTCTATACCAGTCCAATGCCTAGCAGTAATTGTACTGCAAAATTCTTGAACTTAAACTATTCTTGCGCAAATCCAGATGGTCATTTTGAAACAATAAATATAGAAACCACAGTAGCAATTAATAGTTATCCAGTATTATCTTTTTTGGGAACATAAACGCCAGACATTGTGCTAAAAATGCATATTTTGTATGCGATTAAATAAACGGTAGACGAACTTCCTATGTTTCCACTTCATCAGTGAAAACAAAAATTACGTTTTTATACAGTAATTTTTGTATTAGCACCGTCAATTTACTGTTTCAATTTTTGCTTTCATTTTCTTGCAGGTATACTGTCGCTTGCTTTAGTTGGCCTCCTTATGGTCGTTTCTTCTTGTTTAATCTTCGTCTATGATCCCGTGCAGCTAATACTGAAAAAGGTAAGTCGATCAAACCCTGAATAATTTACAAATGTGTATATATAAGGCTTTTTCCAGCTGCTTGCTCTGTCACCGGGAACGGTATTCTTCAACCTGTGGTCGGCACCACCATACGATGTTGTTATGAAATTGTACATCTTCAACTTCACCAATGTCGACAAGTTCCTGAGTGGCGAGGAAAAGATGAACGTTACGCAAGTCGGTCCGTATTCTTATAAGTAAGTCTTCTTAATTTGGTACGATTTTGTTGCTTCTGGAACCAGACTGAAACTATTTTCCCGGTTTTAGGGAGATCTTGACAAACAACAACGCGACCTTCGGAGACGATGGCACAGTGACCTATTCGCCAAGACGGGATTTTATAGTGGATCCGGAAAATTCTGTGGGGGACCCAAATTTAGACAGGGTGATCGTGCCTAACATTCCTCTTTTGGTAAGTAAATAATTTTAACCTTGCTCAGCAGCAATTTATACATAAATTCGTATAATTTCAGGGCATCCAGTCTTACCTGGCAGACTCCTCATTTTTAACCAGCATGGGATTTTCTGCGGTGGCTGCCAGCCTTGGTTCAGAACCTGTTCTTGATCTGACGGTGGACGAATTTTTGTGGGGATACGAAGACAAGTTGGTGACCGTGGCTAACCAATTCCTCCCGAATTGGATAGACTTTGGCACCTTTGGACTACTAGAAAGGGTAAGCGCAAATTCCGTACTCCAATGTCAGTAGCACTATTCGTCTAGCGTACAGAGTGTACGCGATGTAAGTACCACATAAACCTAATGGTAAACATTGATTAAACAAGATATTACACAAATACGATGCCCAACTAAAAAATATGATAACTAAAAATCCCTTTCTATTCGATCGATAACTAAAATCCATTGAATTCAGGTCGGGACTTCCAGGGGGATCATAATATCGTACAGAATTTTTATTGGATTATGGATGGAATGAATTTACAGTTACCCCGTCCTGCTTAGGCATTTATTATACTGTTTTCTTGATATTTCTTTCAAGATGCGTGGGTTTTAGGATACCGAGTAGAATTTAATAACGAAAAAAGAAAGTGCAGTAAAATTGTATGACCTCCTAGAAGCCCCGTCGCTTTTAAATTATTCTAGAAACTGTCACGCAGTAAATATTATCATATTTTTGTAGAAAATAGGATTATTTATGATTGTAGAAATAAATTATTATTAAACTAAAATAAACAATTTTAGTTCCTGTCATTTTGTGAGCTCCGATTAACTTTTTTTTCTTTGAAAAGAAACATCAAATCTATCCATGTAATTTAAAACCTTTTATCCACGACTATTGTATAATGTACCCATTATACGTCTGTTTGCTCGACCTTAATAATACCCATTAATCACGGCAGTGATTAATGAGTCATTAATCACTACTGTCAGATGCTTCCTTAATTTAGCTATAATATTATATTGTTCTGCTACAAACAATCCGTTTTTAAAATTTTATCGTGTAAACCACTAAATATTTTCAATTCAGTGCTGTACATATAAAAAAAAATAAAAAGTGAATTTTCCTAGACCGGATTCGAACCCGGGACCCGCGGTTGGAAGGGAAAGAGCATCTACACTGAGCCATCAGCGACTTCATTTGTGCGAGTCGTATATCTGTTTCTTAACATACCATGTTTTTCGAAACATTTCAAAAAAAACTTCAACAAAAATATTTAGTAGTCGTGGATAAAGTATAGGTGATTTAGGCCACTCGCCTGCGGCTCGTGGCCGTAAACCTCACCTCGTGAATAATACCCATCATTATACGCTCGTTGAATAATATACTATTTATTTACTTTAGTCGAAAATGCCACCTACTGACTATGCTGTAAATAACACATTGATACTGCGGATACGCTGTGTATTATACAGTTCCTTAATATTACCTACGCTTTACTTAATAACGAGAAAATTCCGGTTTTAGTTAGTTATAAATATCTCATAGAGTTTATTCGCGTTATAAATAAATTAGCGGATATATAATAAATATTAGGTAGATCCACAGCATCATTAATAAAACAACATTCTTTCAATTTTCAGCTTATTAGTCGAGACAACACCAACGAGGTAACCATAAGCGTGGAACCGGACAAGCACAAATCCAAGTTCGATTATCTCCTCACCGACGACGAGCAGAATTCCCAGTTTCACATCGTGCGATGGAACGGCCTGCCCGGTCTCAAAGAATGGGGATACGATCCGTCACAAGAAGACGAGAACACCAACACCACCAAGAAATGCCAACTCGTAGAGGGCGCTTTCGACGGTACCATCTTCCCAAAACACCTCAAAAAGGACTTCGCCCCCACGATATTCAGGAAAGCCTTCTGTCGACCAGTCGAAATGGAATTCGTGGAAGAATCCACCACCGCTCAGGGATTCAGATCTTACAACTACAAACTTAAGGACAACATGTTCGCTTCCCCCGAAGAGAATCCGTCGAACGAGTGCTATTGTTTCAACGGCAAATGCCCCGCTAAGGGTTTGCAGACCATCGCCCCTTGCTATTACGACATTCCCATCGTGTTGTCGCAGCCGCACTTCCTTAACGTAGACCCGGAAATTCTCGCAACCGTCAACGGTTTAAATCCGAACATGAAGGACCACGGCAGCGTCGCCAAGGTGCAGCCGGACCTAGGGGTGCCCCTGGACGAGTCCACCCTTAAAATCCAAGTCAACTTGGAAGTGGGTAAAACCAGGTTCAATAGTAAGACCAGACCCTTCAACGACCTCACCATCCCCCTCTTCTGGATCGAGCTGACTTGCAACGAACTTCCCACGACCGTCTACTATTTAGTCACGCTGATAGTTTCCGTGTTGCCCGTGGCGGAGGTCGTGCTCAAGTACCTCCTGCTGTTGATGGGACTTGCCATGATTTCGGGGGCGGCCCTATTGACGCTGTTCTTCTCGAAGACGGTGGTGCCGAGGTCGCTGAGCATAGCCTCGGAGTATTCCCCCATCCCCCTGATAAACATCTCCTCCCAGTATTTTAAGCCTGAAATTCGGATATGTAAATAGATTTTTTTTTTGTTGTTAATAAATTGCTGCTAGGTGCCTTGTAGAGAGAGTTTGCGCGTCTGTGACGTTCTATAGAGACTGAAACAAATTATTTATATTTGTACCATGTTATATGACTAGTGAGATAATGTCTACTTCTTAGGCTTTAAGTGTTTTTATTTATGAATGGTTTTGTATGTTTGTATATTAATATACGTTACACAAAGGTTTCGTTTAAGTTGTCGTCGCTTTTTCCTTACTTGCTCTCGTGATATCTTTCAACTATTTCTTCATTTGCATCAGCACGATTGGATGGATGTTTTCTAAGACTGTATGAAAATTGCACTTCGAATAAAACTGTGGGGTAAATTCATCTTGGATTTAAAAAATAAAAACTCAGCAGTACCAACTTTTCCGAATAAATTGAAAGACGAAATACTGAGCTATGAAAAATTCTTAAAAAAAGATTAATGTAATGCTGTATTCTCCTAATTGAGTAATATATTCGAGAAATTACTTAATAGTTTTATAAAAAAAACAAGAAATAAAAGGCAAAATTTGAGTACCGTTCGTAAGTTTTAAGTTGACGATTTCGCAAATTTAAAAAACTAAATATTAATAGTATATTATTCAACGAGCGTATAATGATGGGTATTATTCACGAGGTGAAGTTTACGGCCACGAGCCGCAGGCGAGTGGCCTAAATCACCGAGTGAATAATACCCATTATACGGGAGTAGAATACTATACTTTATCCACGGCTACTAAATATTTTTGTTGAAGTTTTTTTTGAAATGTTTCGAAAAACATGGTATGTTAAGAAACAGATATACGACTCGCACAAATGAAGTCGCTGATGGCTCAGTGTAGATGCTCTTTCCCTTCCAACCGCGGGTCCCGGGTTCGAATCCGGTCTAGGAAAATTCACTTTTTTAATTTTTTTTTTATATGTACAGCACTGAATTGAAAATATTTAGTGGTTTACACGATAAAATTTTAAAAACGGATTGTTTGTAGCAGAACAATATAATATTATAGCTAAATTAAGGAAGCATCTGACAGTAGTGATTAATGACTCATTAATCACTGCCGTGATTAATGGGTATTATTAAGGTCGAGCAAACAGACGTATAATGGGTACATTATTATACAATAGTCGTGGAAAAAGATATTTAATTCATATTTGATAAATACGTATTTCTGGGGATATTAAAATAGAATTTAAGTAAAAAAGTTGCTAATATGTTTTATTAAGGATATTAACTTTAGAATTATCAAATACGGCTATATCTAGAAATACCACTTTGTAGGTAATCACTGCCTGCTAAAATGTGTACGTGTTTCAATTTCAAATAAGAGATATACAAGAGTGGCACAATGAAGATTAAAATACAGTGTGTAGATACATGACTAAATATGATGCTTCTGAAAAATCTTCAACGCATCCTACACCTTGAAGTCCAAAACTTTGGCTTCACTAAGGCTTTCCATTCTAAAACCACCCCCTGCAGTTATGTGGAATTACGGAACAAGGACACCAATAAAATTTGACACTCATTTATTTTTAGAAGGTAACAAAACTCTTTTGTACTATCATGCAGCGAGTATTCACATATATTTACAAAGTCGTCATTTATTCTAAATAGTTAAATGCGCAGAAAATTCTTAAACATTATTGTTGTTGTTCCCACCACTGCCAAACTAACAACCAACAATTATTACATAACAAGTACAGTCCCCTGACATAGCAAATGGTGGAAAACATTTTTTTTTTTTACTTATTTTCTGAGAGCTTACTTCTGTGATGGATAATTTCCCCTATTTCGGGTAAATCTTTGTCAATCTGGCAACACCAGCGGTGGATCAAATTCAGTCGAGGTTACGGGGTGCGTATTTTCGAACGTATCCACGGCAAGTAGTACGACAGTCTGGTGTAGACGTCCGGAAAACCGGGCTTGGCGCACCCGGAGCCGAACGACGTGATCCCCGCCAATATCCACCTGCCGTCACGCATAGCGCACTGTAGAGGTCCCCCGGAATCACCCTGAAACAGAATAAATACATACATGCTCGAGTAAAATACTTTGTATCCTATCTTTAAATCAACGTACGCAAAATTGAATTGATAAATTTACAAATCCTGTATAAATACTATGTTTGCTTTTAAATTTAATTGCTGAATAATTGTTTGTCTTGCTGATTTATGCACGTCAGTTTGTCTAGGCGCAATATCAAACACATTAGGCACGATTTATCGTTTTAATAAAACACACATCAAAGAGGTACATGGTAAATATTGTACATTTTAGTTATATTCTTGTTTAGCTTGCTTGTACCTTATTTGTCGCACTGTTAACTATTACGTCTTCGATTTTTTTATTGCGATGCAGATAATTTCATTTTTTATGCGTTATTTCCTTTTCCAGTCACAATATAAACCATTAAGTCGGTTACATTTAGACGGACTATCGTCCTTCTAGTTTTATAAACAAACCTATTAAATAGAGAAATTCCAAACTAATGCGCTTGTTAAGTGTCCCTTAAAACGTCTTGTTAACAAAATGATTTATTGATCATCAGAGACCATCAAACTCACAAAATAACTATTTAATTAGTTTAATATGATAATCTATGATAATGTTAACTTATTATTTGATAATTATGTTAATATTTTTTTTAGTAATTGTGGCAATAAGTACGTCAAAAATATAAAAGAAAGTAGATACACGATACATGGAGGTGTTTGTGATTTATGAATTTCAGAATATTATAATTTCGAATACAAATATCGGTCAACTTTTATGCAAATCGTCTATCATTTATACTAGATCGGCTATTCTAGGACATATTTATATGAATATGTATCCAGTTATTCATTGTTATTTACGGCGGACGTTTGCCTGATGACGCGGGACAATTAAATTTGAATAAAAATCCAATGAAAACAACACATATCGAATTCGGCGGGTAACAGGAAATAATGTTCTTCTGCGAAGTGATCCTTAGAAACGGGTCAAATACCAAAAAAATTATGTAAATTTATGCGGAGAACATACTGTATTGAGGAATAAATCTCGTTGATGTACGTTACAACCGTTTTACGACGGTTCGTGGGAAACTTTATTAGCACGTTTTCAAACCAACCTGCCACAATAGAAAACATACGAACATAAAATGTATTAATGTGTTTTTTTTATCAAGCGCATTCGTAAGTCCTGTTCATTTCGCATGGAAAAATGATATTTGTAAAGATACGCCGTATTCCCGACGCATAATTTTCATGCATTTACATTTATATTGTAACTCCGAGATTGTGTTGGGAAATCGGGACGGAGTTTCGGACGATGAAAAATTCAATTATTTTCAAATATTTCGAAAAGGTAAGGAAATTTGTATAAGCATGTTTAATAATTTTAAAAATTATTACAAGTAAAGTGCCTAAATAAAAATTATTATTGGATTGGTGTGTACATACATATTGGACCGAATGGCAGAAACTTGAATGAAATAAAAATAAAGTCAATTGCATACGTTTAACTTTTTTAACTACAGACATTTCCTTAAACTGCTTTCTTTTATAGCGCATACAAGTTTCAGCGTAAATATATCCTTACCACGCAGGTTCCGCTGCTCCCGTCCAAGTGTCCCGCGCAGAGGTGTCCCGACCTGATGTTGACGGCGTGTCCGTACTTCTTCCTGCAGACGGCGTTGTCGTGGACGGGCACCTTTGCCTCCAGCAGCTTCCCGGCCAGGAAACCGTCCTCCATGTCCCTACCCCACCCGGTGGCGATGCAGAGATCGGTCTGGTTGTAACCTAACCTCTTCGTAGGCAAACACACGGCGCGGATGCGACTTTCGCCCGCCAGTTTGACGGGCCGAGCCAGTTTCATAAGAGCTGTAGAATAAAACAGTGACGAATGTCGAGGTAAAGTGAAAACGACACGTTTTTTTATCAATTTTTATATATTATGTTTTAATATAATGTCACGACTGTATGGATATTAAAATAAAACCGTGACTGAGATAGAAACAGCCACGGTTCTACTTACCGATGTCGTGCTGGAAATTGTGAAACCGCTCGTGGAGGATGATTTCTTCTACGGGGATCCTCTGCTCGGAGAATTCCTCGACGTCTCTGTCCCAGTCGCCGACGACGGCGGTCCACAGGGCGGCAAGTGGCAAATTGAACAGGTCACTAGAAAGAGGGAATAAGGTTTTTTTTATAGGAAGGAGTAAGGAAATAAATAACACAAATTATTTAGTAACTTTGGTATAAGCCCGCTGACAAAAAATGTTTGTTCTGTCTTTTGATATGATCATCTTCATATAGTAGATAAAGTACACAGAAGTTTTACAAACGACAATGAGACAGTGCAGGATTGATTAAAAGTTGCACTAAATAGCTTCATTGGAAAGAACATTCACAATGTCAGTCAGGTATTAAACAATGTCTGCTATTTAATTACTTGCAACGTCTATTACTGATTTTTAGATCATAAACGAAAAAGTATTTGTGTTTAAGTTCGACGGTTCAAGGTGCAAACAGCATATTCATTTACGAGACGTTAACAATTTTAAATAGCTGTTAAATTTCGATTAATCTGAGGCGGTTCCCAAGAATATTATAAAATCTGTCCGTCAATTTTTTACGCTTTAGCATCCGTCGACGCGATCCAACTTGGCGTGAGTAACTTTTCGTCAATCGCAACCCCGAGGAAATTGTCTTAGAAGGCAGTTTGGGAACTCATGAATAATTTCACTGGCGAAGAGATGCTCAGCATTTGTAATTCCTTCTGTGGGGTTTTTGATTTAGTGGCAAGATTCCGCACCGTTTAAGCCGATCGCAAGTGGATGAAGCTCTTGCTTTCAAATATATCATACATGTTTAGTTTTTGAATATCCAGAAACATAAATATAGAGAAACTTAATTACAATCTTTTTCTTACAGGCTGTTTAAAATTTTCTTGGTTACACTCTGTATACTGCAAAAGTGATATTTCAATGTTAAAGTTATTCCGCTTAAGAAACTAACTAGAACTGTTTATCACGATAAGCAAATCGACTACAGAAACATATGCTTTCACAAATCGTGAATAATCATATCATTGTTTACATATTTCTATTAAGACAGACATTAATTTCATACAATCTAACGTGTATTAGCAACTGGTGATTGTATCCCTGAGTATTTCAATTACTAATAAATATCAAGACAAATCTATTTTCAATTGACAACATTTCTACATAAAAACGTATTCAGAGGCGGACTGGCTAGATGAACAGGCCCGGGAAACATTCATCAAGCGGCCCGTTTTTTGAAAGTTTCAGAATTTATTTTATTTTAAATAGGCTCTTCGTGAATGATTTATTTGAAATATTTGAAAAAAGTTAGCCATAGATAATTTGATATTGTTTTAAAAATAATTAATCACAATTTGTTTGTAGATAAAAATTAAAATCTTAAATTAAAATAATTTAGATTTTTTTTAAAATGGATTAGTAGTTGGAAGGTATAAGAAGTTAAAGCATTATTCTTTTTAATAAATAAATAATCATTAAAATATATATTTTGTATCAATCGAAAATATCGTGTTGTAGAGCTAAGTATAATCTAAAAATTCCAATTTAATATAAAAGGAGATTTTTAAAAGTGTACTTATTAAAACTAATTCATTAATTATATCATCTAATGACAAACTATTTAAAATGTCTACATTTAATGCCATTAACATAAAAGTCTCTACTTTTTCCTGAGTCAGCGAACTTCTCAAACGATTTTTTAAAAACTTCAAAGTGCTAAACGATCTCTCACAAGCTACTTATGTAAACGATAGAGATAATACGTATTTATATGCTACTGATGCAAAGGGAAATACGTTTGTCAATAGATTGTATCTATTTAAAATCCTGTAACAACATATTATGATGCAGCTTTTACATGGCTCATGTTTCTTTTTATTTTTTCCTTTATATTTCTGTTGAGTTTCATCAGTTTCATCTTCTGTGATTTTAGTCCAGACGGTATCTGTTTCAAAAAGCCATATTTGGGTGAATCGTATATCCACGGAGACTTCTGGCTTTTTGGCTTTCAAATATCACTATCACTAGAAATGAAAATTTTTCTATGCGCATAAAAAAAACGTGGGCTTAACTTTTGGCGGCACAATATGTTAAAAAAATTGGAAAAATGTCATATTTTTCTTCCTATTTAATTATGTATCTTTTCAAGAGTTGATTTTAGGCGAAAATGGAAGAGGAAAAAAATGTTTGTAATTAAATTTTTTACAAAACATGACTAGTTACAAATCGAATGAATCATGATTATTATGGTAAAAATCGAAAAAATCGCAAAAATGGGGTTAAAAAACAATACTTTTTAGGGAATTTTTTTGGGGTATTTAAATTGGGTATAGGACCTTTATACTTGGCTCAAGAAAACTTCATGTTATGTAGAATCATCACACCAAATTTCATCAAAATCGGTTCGATAGATTTTGCATAATAATTTTGCAATCCAGATTTTGAAAAAAAAATTGCAAATTTTCAAAATTTTGCACAGCAAAAACCAAGGCCCTTAGATACTTGAAAATTTAATCACATATAGAAGGGCTCTCAAGCTTTCAAACTTTTTTTGAAAAATTCGAATCCGTCAATTAGGAGAGCTCTGGCGCTTGTTTAAACATTGGTCGAATTTTTGTACTTATAAACAATTAGAATAACTTTGTGAATATTCAATCAAATCAAATTTTTTAAAGCAGGTTTTAAAAGTTCTTGGAAAGACGCTTCTTTAAAAAAAAAAAAAATCGATTGATCAATTAGTTACGTAGTTATAGCCGTCATTTACACTAAATGTACTGGGACATCCGGGCTAATTTTTCGAAAAATACCTTTGGTATTCCGAGTACTTACCAGGTCTAAGATTACAATACTTTTCTTCATTGGCAACCTACTTTAAAACGTGTTTAAAGTTATTTATGCAAGCGAGAAATTCAATAAAATCGTACGGGTGGTGGTGGTGGGGGAAGCAGAGAGCGCGGCCGCTTCGGCCTGCTCGAAATTGAATCGGCTATAACTACGTAACTAATTGATCAATCGATCTGTTTTTTTTTAAAAAAGAAGCGTCTTTCCAGGAACTTTTAAAACCTGCTTTAAAAAATTTGATTTGATTGAATATTCACAAAGTTCTAATTGTTTATAAGTACAAAAATTCGACCAATGTTTAAACAAGCGCCAGAGCTCTCCTAATTGACGGATTCGAATTTTTCAAAAAAAGTTTGAAAGCTTGAGAGCCCTTCTATATGTGATTAAATTTTCAAGTATCTAAGGGCCTTGGTTTTTGCTGTGCAAAATTTTGAAAATTTGCAATTTTTTTTTCAAAATCTGGATTGCAAAATTATTATGCAAAATCTATCGAACCGATTTTGATGAAATTTGGTGTGATGATTCTACATAACATGAAGTTTTCTTGAGCCAAGTATAAAGGTCCTACACCCAATTTAAATACACCAAAAAAATTCCCTAAAAAGTATTGTTTTTTAACCCCATTTTTGCGATTTTTTCGATTTTTACCATAATAATCATGATTCATTCGATTTGTAACTAGTCATGTTTTGTAAAAAATTTAATTACAAACATTTTTTTCCTCTTCCATTTTCGCCTAAAATCAACTCTTGAAAAGATACATAATTAAATAGGAAGAAAAATATGACATTTTTCGAATTTTTTTAACATATTGTGCCGCCAAAAGTTAAGCCCATGTTTTTTTATGCGCATAGAAAAATGTTCATTTCTAGTGATATTTGAAAGCCAAAAATCTCTGTGGATATACGATTCACCCAAACCAAATCAGATACCGCCTAGTCTATTTCTTCACTTTCACTTTCATCACATTGACATGTTTCATACTCGTCCAATGGAGTTTGTACAAGTTTTTTCCACTGGTGTGCTAAATTTGTTAATTCATCTCTTAGTTTTTGAGGAGTTATTTCTGGTTCATATATGACCCATTTCTCACACAGTTTGTGAAAACCTGGAGCTTTTAAGCCTCAGATCACACGTAATTGTCGGCCAAGGTGAAGTCGACATTTCTTATTTTACTGCCCTAGGTGTGTAATATATACTTTTTTCATTTATTTCCAAATTTTTTGCTCAAAATTTTTTCCAATATTTGTTTTTCAATTTTTTTTCATATTTTTTCAATTTTTTTTTTAAATTTTTATTTCAAAAATATATTTCATCCCTCTACAGCGCGGACCGGGCCAAAATGACCGCGGCCCATCGGGAAACCTCCCGAGTTCCCGCATAGCCAATCCGCCTCCGATTACAGTCCCTGTGTTTGAAGAAACTTATTAATTACTGATACGGTACATTTTACAGGTACAGTATTTATAAATAAAAGCTCGCATTGTATCTCAGATAAAAAAGTCCTTAATGATTGTCGACATCAAGCCAGCTTCCTGCGCGCATTCTGATTGAGTAAGGGGAAGTAGGTCAGTAGTGCCAACACAGAAACCCGTATGGTGCAAGTGGCGGCCGAGGACCTCGCCATAATGGGACTGTGAAAAATGTGAGGAGAGCAAGTTCAAGAAATGAACGAAAGTGAGATTCATTAAATGGCATACCCGGTAAACGGTGATGTAACGGCTTACACTCCTTTTACCTTGTCGGAATCGGTTTAAATAATTAACAATAAATTATAATTTAGTCTCGTTGCTGTCATAAATATCAGTGTGCTACACAACAATAGAAAACTTACTTGTGGATACAATGCGCCGCAGTCAGGAGCCACTCGGGAGATATCATAACGCCCCCACACCAGTGACCTAGAAATCCAAACTGGGGGTGTAGGAGCTGCAGGGAGACCTGAAATGAACAAAACAGGAGGTACATTGTAAAAAAATGAGGTTCAGATCGCAATTCAACTCGGTCTCGTTCTATAAACTGTTACTTTATTATAATATTTATATTTCTGTTTCGATAACCTTTATAAAATCACGCCTAAGAATATACAGATTTTTACGTGGAAGCAGAACTGACTGATAAAAGAAATATCCCAGATTTTATAACCGCCTTCAAATAGAAATGATTCCAGGCCGCACCCACGCCGAACTTTTGATCCAAACTTCGAATGTCGCTTTGTAGACTTCGAGAAGAACTCGATACGGTAATATTTAATAATATTAATTACTTACCCTTTACTTGGGGCGTCTTATTTAACTTGATGAAATTATTTTTACGTTCAGATATATTAAACACGACAAGTCCTCAAGTTTCTTGCAGCAGATAAATATTTGAGGGTAGGCCTCTAACGTTCAAACTTAAATGAAACGCATTCCACACGCGACTCATTTTTATACGAGGAATTAGAAATCTTCCTGGTATTTGCCGTTCCACTTAAGAGCATCACAACACTGTCTGGATAAACGCGAAAATAGAGGGAAACATTGCTATTTATGAAATTTTCGACAAAACAGTGTTTTGTAAACATATATTTTAATTTTCATCAATACATGAAAGAAAGTTTGTCTGATTTTCAGTAATAATTCACGGAAGTGTACAACTGGAGATGGAAATCTATGGAAAGGATCTTCGCAGGTGATTGAACCAAATAAGGACAGAAGATAGTAACCGTGCATCTTATTTACCCCCGGGCTGATGAAAATATATTGTCAGTTTTAATATGAAGGGATATCTTCAGATAGAGAGAGAAAGGGATCAGAGAGATTTAATGCTTTGCTGACACAGGCTCGATACGTTTAAAATTTGTCGACCAGACAAGATAGAATAAATTATTCTTATGCTTTAGGAATTACGTAGTTTTTTTTTGTTTAATTTTAATTTTGCTTTAATTATGATTTTAGAAAATAAAAAAAATTCCGAACTTGGCAACTTTTTTCAATAAAAACTTTTAGCTATAAAGATAAACAAAAAATTTTCCAAAATATTGACTTCATTTGAGAAAATTTGATGGCAAATTTGTATAATTTATTTAAATTACATGAACACCCTCAAAATAAAGTAAAATTACACGAGCTAATAATAAAATGTAAAAAAGTAAGTTTTAGCTTTTTATTCAGGTATTATTTATTTTTATAAACTACATTTTACCTGCCAGGGCCAAGCACCGCGTACACTCTGCTTTCCATGGATGATGCGACCAATCGCTCCAAACCTAGGCTGCCTAGATCTTCGAACACTCCTGCCACATTCTATACAAAAAAAAATCATACGTAGATATAGAAAAAAATCTAACGCAAGTAGCTACATTTTTGACCCAATAAACATACAAGTCTTCCCTCGCTTATGCGTAATTTTCAGTGAATTCATAGCAGTCTTTTGACGAGAATTTTAGAAAATCTAAGCAAATTAAAAACAATATCTCTTCACTGTATTAGTTATACGAGTTTTCTCCAGGGTATAAGATAGTTTAGAGTATCGAGTATTTTTACAATNGGTGCAAGAAATGAACGAAAGTGAGATTCATTAAATGGCATAGCCGGTAAACGGTGCTGTAACGGCTTACACTCCTTTTACCTTGTCGGAATCGGTTTAAATAATTAACAATAAATTATAATTTAGTCTCGTTGCTGTCATAAATATCAGTGTGCTACACAACAATAGAAAACTTACTTGTGGATACAATGCGCCGCAGTCAGGAGCCACTCGGGAGATATCATAACGCCCCCACACCAGTGACCTAGAAATCCAAACTGGGGGTGTAGGAGCTGCAGGGAGACCTGAAATGAACAAAACAGGAGGTACATTGTAAAAAAATGAGGTTCAGATCGCAATTCAACTCGGTCTCGTTCTATAAACTGTTACTTTATTATAATATTTATATTTCTGTTTCGATAACCTTTATAAAATCACGCCTAAGAATATACAGATTTTTACGTGGAAGCAGAACTGACTGATAAAAGAAATATCCCAGATTTTATAACCGCCTTCAAATAGAAATGATTCCAGGCCGCACCCACGCCGAACTTTTGATCCAAACTTCGAATGTCGCTTTGTAGACTTCGAGAAGAACTCGATACGGTAATATTTAATAATATTAATTACTTACCCTTTACTTGGGGCGTCTTATTTAACTTGATGAAATTATTTTTACGTTCAGATATATTAAACACGACAAGTCCTCAAGTTTCTTGCAGCAGATAAATATTTGAGGGTAGGCCTCTAACGTTCAAACTTAAATGAAACGCATTCCACACGCGACTCATTTTTATACGAGGAATTAGAAATCTTCCTGGTATTTGCCGTTCCACTTAAGAGCATCACAACACTGTCTGGATAAACGCGAAAATAGAGGGAAACATTGCTATTTATGAAATTTTCGACAAAACAGTGTTTTGTAAACATATATTTTAATTTTCATCAATACATGAAAGAAAGTTTGTCTGATTTTCAGTAATAATTCACGGAAGTGTACAACTGGAGATGGAAATCTATGGAAAGGATCTTCGCAGGTGATTGAACCAAATAAGGACAGAAGATAGTAACCGTGCATCTTATTTACCCCCGGGCTGATGAAAATATATTGTCAGTTTTAATATGAAGGGATATCTTCAGATAGAGAGAGAAAGGGATCAGAGAGATTTAATGCTTTGCTGACACAGGCTCGATACGTTTAAAATTTGTCGACCAGACAAGATAGAATAAATTATTCTTATGCTTTAGGAATTACGTAGTTTTTTTTTGTTTAATTTTAATTTTGCTTTAATTATGATTTTAGAAAATAAAAAAAATTCCGAACTTGGCAACTTTTTTCAATAAAAACTTTTAGCTATAAAGATAAACAAAAAATTTTCCAAAATATTGACTTCATTTGAGAAAATTTGATGGCAAATTTGTATAATTTATTTAAATTACATGAACACCCTCAAAATAAAGTAAAATTACACGAGCTAATAATAAAATGTAAAAAAGTAAGTTTTAGCTTTTTATTCAGGTATTATTTATTTTTATAAACTACATTTTACCTGCCAGGGCCAAGCACCGCGTACACTCTGCTTTCCATGGATGATGCGACCAATCGCTCCAAACCTAGGCTGCCTAGATCTTCGAACACTCCTGCCACATTCTATACAAAAAAAAATCATACGTAGATATAGAAAAAAATCTAACGCAAGTAGCTACATTTTTGACCCAATAAACATACAAGTCTTCCCTCGCTTATGCGTAATTTTCAGTGAATTCATAGCAGTCTTTTGACGAGAATTTTAGAAAATCTAAGCAAATTAAAAACAATATCTCTTCACTGTATTAGTTATACGAGTTTTCTCCAGGGTATAAGATAGTTTAGAGTATCGAGTATTTTTACAATATTCTCTACAAAACAAGAAAGGATGTTACAAGAATGTCTACGTTTTCCGTGACCTTTCACTGCGAAAAATCAAAGGTTTCCTTGTATTTTCTAACATTTCTATTTTAGACGGATTTTTTGTTCTATTTGACTTACTAGAAGTGCGATTTCTTGTCTATAAAACGCCAGCCTTAATCACTATAATCCTGTCATCACGTCTTTTTTGAGCGCCTCAAAATATAGGCTCAAGTCATTAAAGCCTTTCAACAGGTTGCGTTTCTCACAGTAAATCGTCCCCCTCGTCCATTATTTCCACTTTCACTCGCTACCGGAGCGTAACGGTCTACAAATAGAAGCAATCTTGGGCCGACCTCTGCAGGGCATGGAGATATTCATATCAAAATAAACAACCCAAGAGATATGCTAATACGGGACTTAATACTGATGATATGGCCGGTTTCTGCATTTTACTACGAAGACCAATGCTCTAAGGACAACAACAAGGAAGTATCTGTTTCACAGGGTGAGTCACATTTTTGTGACTTCGACAGTCAATAGAAAACATTGCTCTGTGAAGAAAATATCATGTAACAACGGTCTTAGAACGCTTCGTTTTTCCGTTGTCTTCTTTTTGTAACTGCGTAAAAACAATATCTCTTCACTGTAGAAAATTCTACTTTGGAAGAACATGTGCCAAGTTGGAAAACAAGATTTCTATTTGAAAAACGTAATATAAAACAAAAAGTTTACTTTAGGTAAATATTTCAAGGATATCAGAATTATTGCAAATACTTACGAATATTTTGAGCCATCAAATTGGTAATGCAGAAAAATTAAACAGGTAAATTATTTTAGAAGCTGGTCGTTCTACAATTCATAAGAGCCTATTTTGATTATTAAAGTTCATTCAACTGAAACATTTAACATTATTATTTCGTTAATTATGGCTTTGGACATTCCTGCATATCTCCCCAAAACAATTCAGTTTCTAATTTAAAAGACAACACAGAGGCTTCATTCTTGTCATCTTTTTTTCTGTATAACGTAAGTAATTAAATTGAATAAAAATAGTGACTAATAGTAGAGTTTTTTATGTAGCATAAATTTTGAACGCTAGAAATGCTATGGCACCAGAGTAAATATGAGTGGGAGTCACCAATATTATTAAAGACGAGATTACAAATATGTAAACATTTTACTTATTTTCTGCTAATTAAAAATGAAAAGTGTGTAATAACATTTATAATTTAATTTAAATAATTATGTACTTTTATTTTATATTTATATTAAATTAAGGTCAATTATTGACGTAATAAGTAAATACATTTTCACTTTTCAATAACATTAAAAATTCGTTCAAGTGACATAAACATTAATGTATACAATTAACTGGTAAACAAAATATTTTGCAATCGCAGTGTTTTTACTTGAGTATAATTAAACATTAGATTCACATTATTTCTCGTAACTATTAATTTTACACTAGCAGGTATATCAACAGATATTTTTAGTCTTTGAATTTATAAGGATTAGTCAAAGCTTTAGAAAGAATAATTGGTATGATTTTGATAACTAAAAATGTGGAAGAGTTTATTTACATTTGCAAGAATTAATGTTTTTCATCGTAACATTAATTATACATACATATATTACTAATATAGCTAATTATGGATTGTAACGACGTTAATATTATAGTACTTTCCTTTATAATATAGCTTGATATAAAAATGTATATAATTTTAGAGAAAAGGTAATTTAAAACATTAATAAAACATTATGTAGTTCCATTATGTCTGTCTAGAGTTATGTCTTTAACAGATATTATTTGTTACATAGAAAATGGCAATTAATCATCAGTTTTAGAGATATTTGCAGTCGACCTTGTTTCAGAATATAAACGAGTACATTATTGAGACGTAACCTCTAGTCGACAGATGTATGAGTTTGATAGAAATGTCCCAAAAACACGTGCATGCCAGAAAAGACATAACAGTTGCGATAAGGTCACATCCACAATTCGTTACCTTGGCGGTTTCTGCTAAAGGTAGAGGTCTTTAAATTTCTTGTTAAGGCTTGTTACGTATATTGTTTGTCTGCATAATAAACTGTTCTTGGTACACGTACATAAATATTTTTCTTTCTTTCTATACACATATTTTTGTAGATGAAAAGTGTATGCAGTAGTAATTTTTGTTCTGGTTACATGTTTCTCCTTTTCTTTAACATTTTTTTGATATGGATTCTTTTTCAGTTCTGGACAGATAATTGTGATTTGAATTTATTTAATGTTAACACTAGTTGTAGGATCCCCGTGAAAACACTAGAAATTAGAAGCCTTACACAGCCAAAGAAATTAGTAAATTATTTGATCTTAAATTAATACACAAAATTGTTGTCTATTTATGGATGATAATAAATCGTAAGAATGGAAGTGACTTTAATTTTTATGTTTTTTTCATTATCATTCTCATTAACGTCTCAAAATAAGTAGAAGGTACCGTCGCATCCGCCGCCTTAACGATGCACATTTCCAATCGACACACACCCATCACTTTTACTTTTTGGTTGTACGCCAGCGGGAAGGCCAGGATAAGATCCTTCAAGGCCGCACACGCATGCACACACTTGCCACGCCGCAAACGGTAGTTACCTTGGTGTTGCACAGCCCGCGCGGCCGGCATTGACCCACAGAAGAGCAGCCCGATCGCTACCAGCCACAGCAGTTTGAGCGAAGCAATATCGCCCATAGCACTAACATGTCCGCAGCCCACTGGGATCTGAGCTCTAACCCGAACACCCCGCTCAGGAGAGAGTGATTGCATTCAGCAATGAAAGTGGTCAATATCAGATGGCGAACTAGGCCTCCTGGCCTGTGGTGGTAACCCAGTTCGTGTCTGTATTGTTGTTGTTGTCGTGAGTAGGATGGGTCTTGGTTCTTTCAAGGTTCCGAGGTCCTGCCGCGTAGGACTGACTTCAGATCTTTAGGCACGTGACTTCGTTTAGTTTTAAATTCGAGATTTGACTGTTTGAAGTTACTTATTTGTGGTACAGTTTTCGTTCTTTATTTATTCGGTTTGAGATAAACAGGTGTCCCGGTACTTGATACAAAAAAGTCGAGTACAAATAGATGAGGTTAAAATAATATCAGTTCTTCATATAAATTCTTTTCATACGCTCCTTCGTTAACAAATTACGGGCCCTTAAAGGTAAAAATTAAAAATATATTTTAATTTACGATCTCTTTAACTATTAATTTCAGCATGATGCAAATTTGATGATCGATAACACATGCATACAGCTTGTTTTTGATGTAGTAAGTGAAATTTCATTATGTCCAGAACGCCAGGGACGGAATATGCCCAATGGTTAACAAGCTAGAATTTTTGCATAGGCGACGATCGTAACCTGCCTGTATAAAAAATAAGTTCCTTGAAAAATTTGCCAACGATAATGCCCTCTTGGTGCAAGTCGGTAAAATTAACAGTTCGCCCCCTCCATTTTTTGTTTTTAATTTTTAATTGGACATAATTATGTTAGAACGGTCCATGTTCTTAAAATAAGAGCCTAGAAAATCTTTCTGTCTGCTAATGTAATTTCCATTAACAAAATTTGACAAATACACTTTACACAACAAAACAGAAAAAAGGTTAAAGTTAACATTTTGCTACTTTTTATTACAATTTTTATTTTATAACCAAAGCTCCATTTTTCTTCAGTGGGTTGAATTCCTGACAATTAGAGAGCGAGTTTAAACTGAAATACGAGTGTTTATGATTCCTTATACGGTCTAGAAATAGCTGTTTCTATAGTGTTTTTTTTTTCAAAAATAAGGAGCAATTTTCTAGGTAATAACGTTAATTGTAGAAACTAATTGGAATAGCAATATGATAAATTGGTCTACCCTCTATCTAATTACTACTGGTTGCATCTCTCGGCTCTTTCTGTTAAAAAAAAAACTAAGGTCAATTAATATCCTTTCTTCGCACTTTTATTACCGATGGCAGTTTCGTATAATAAAACGAATTATCTATCACTAATGCAAATTAAGGTCGACAAATAAATAAAAATAATCTCAAGATATGTGTGCATCATGACCTAGCCCTAAATGTGTGATGTCCTTCCATTTTTAATGGGCATAATTCGTTAGAAAGTCTAAGACGACGTTCATAAAAAGTTTCTTAGAAACACGAATTATGATCATTATCAATTGTCCTGCCATCCACTAATGCTGCATTTTTTATATTTTTTTGTAGGACAAGAATATAAACTGTCTATAAGTGTATTCCATGACACATCTTGTGTTATACTTTGTGTAAATCCATTTTTAATGGTCCATCCTCCTTCCACTATTATGTTTCAATGTCCCGCCATTAACTTTCTACCTTATTTATAACATTTTAATCAGCGTTTCGCTGATTGTACCGATGTTTTATGGTCGACAATTAGATATCGGCCGTCGCTTTGTGAAGGTAATCGTTCCACGCGACTATTTATATCGATATATCCAGAAATTCTACCCCCAATTATCATCCGGGAAGGAGCCAAAGCCAACACTTCCCGTTTTTTAATCAGAATTCGAGGGGCGTAAAATTAGAGGAGCGAGGACACACAGACTTGTCATTAAGTTAATAACATCGATCGAGCTGATGGTTCTCCGTATTGTCTTCAACACAAATGAGTGCGGAGCGGTTTGATATCGGACACCTGCGGTATGCGCTCTATCTAGGTTAGCTCTGATAAAAATCCCGCAATAAACTTTCCTCATTTCTGCTCATTTCGAGTTTAATTACTTACCAAAGCGCAAAAATAAAGTCGGAGCTGCTCTCTCATTTATTACAGAAATGCGATCTTGATTAGTGTCTGCCAGGTATTTTTTTCCATTTGTGAGGAGATTTTAATCGAGAACATAAAACACGACATAGGTACTTGATATTTTAAACTGCGTTAAAAACTACTTGCACATTAATGCAACTTTACATATTTATTTAAGCATGACTTAAATAGTGAGAAAAAGTTGATTAATAATAGTGATGTATAGTAGGATCGTATACGATGCAAAGTAGAGCAAAAAATTGTCGGCCTTTTATCAAAGGAAAATCGTGTCATCATTTTTAGGAGGCGTAAGATAAATCATTTCAAATTTAAAGTGAAATTCAATGTAAAATCTAAAATACCGACTATGTTTTCGTAGTAGCTGCAGTCGCCCAGGTGCATCGAGTGTACGAACTGGTCGGTTATACGTCAAATACTAACCTGGCGAGCTTTGCCGTCAATTAGAGAGCGCTTCCAAAAAACAAGTAAACAACAGTGGCGCGTACAGAGGTAAAATGTAGTACATATGTGGAATTTAAAAAACAAATTGGATTTATAATAAATTATATTTAAAATAAATAGTTTATGAGAATAAAGGAATTTTTGTAGCAACAAGGGTGCCAGACCTGAACTGATCCCCTCGTCCCTTCATAATGTATAAAGAAATTATTCAATTTGTAAAACCCTTAAAGGCGTACTTCATTGGTTCCCTTGACAGGCAATGATTTATTACTTTGCATCGAATATGATCGTACTATAGGTATATTTACATTCAAAAAATTAAATTTACCTCAAAATTTTCACCAACCTGTCCCCATTTCATTTTAATTGTATATATTACATTAGTAAAGCGTTATTTAATAACACATTGGCCAATAATAATTCTACATAATTAATTAAGTAATTTAAATTTAAACGATTCATACCGCAAATTACAGGTAATATTTTTTCAGTGCAGCTTTACTACAGAATAGTGTTTTTTTTATTACCACAAAAAATGTGCTCGACAAACATCTATCTAATATGTATACCTCGGTTTCACGGTCATGCAAAAAGGACAAGCTTGCTTATTAATTTTTACCGGATATTTGAAATAATATTTGATGTTAGCACAACTGATTGTAAAGAAGCCGACACGAAAATGCCGCTTCATAACTTAATGCAGATAGATATGTTTCGGTGAAAAAATTTAAAATCTAAATGTTGTAATAATTTTTTTTAAGCGTTTAGTTACTGCTTTTTTTTGTCCTAACACTAGAATTACGTGACATACGTCGGGTAGTCGTCTTATAAAGCCTTGGTTTATTTTTGGCGTGTCTAATTGTGTTTATAAGCCTTTCACTAAATTTGCGATAAATCGCGTAGCGATTGTTTTCTGTTAAATCAACAAAAAAAAAACAGAAACCGGGAAAGGATTACCGTTACTCCATTTTAACATGTACATTTTATTACTTTATCTATACATTATTAGCAAATTCATAATAGCTTAAAACAGCCCAAACTCGGTTAAATATTTAATTTATTGCGGTGTGTTTTACAGTAAAAGGGCCAAAATTAGCAAAACATTTCTAAATTTTGTTTCCGTCTCTTGTACATTGTTCAAGACTATTTAAAAATAACTGTTTATAAAAATTGTTTGGCATGTACATTTATTGAATTTAGTACCGATGGGTAGTTACTTATTAATTTAAGAATAGTTTACCAATAAGTTGTACCTATAGAAGAAATGAATCCATCTAACAAGAAATCGTCGTGTTAAACCTGGTAATTATTCTAATTAGACGATTTCCATGAAATTAACAATCCAGGCAGCTATGGGCGTGCAGTAAAAGTTAATTAAAAGCGAAAATGCAGAAAACGCGACGCGTGAAAAGACATCCGAGGTAAAAAGTTTACTTCTAAATACCTTTCCAGTTGAGATTGCTTGGGCTTCTCAAACCGCGTCGGCAATTAGCGAGTTCCAAAGTTTCTGGTCTTTAATTGTCGTAATTACTATTATGATAGACCCTGGCATCGACGAAATATGTGGGAATCGAAATTAAGGTAAATACCGAGGGTGCTACTGTTTTCTTGCTTCTCGCGAATAATTATCGCTCCGCTATTGCCGTTTTGACTTTCAGAACTGCTACTTTTATTAAAGTAGCAGTTAACTCTAGAATAATGCGAAACTTCAGATATTCGGTGCTGGGTGCTATATTATTTATATTTTAGGTTCAAACAATCTCGTTCTTTTCCATATTTCCTCTCAGAAATGTAACACTTTTCTATTTTTATACCCGCAGTTAACTCTGTTACATTTATAAGCGCAGCACCTGATAAAGACAGGCTAATCTCCATACTCGGCATTTTAATCTCTCGCAGTAGTATAAATATTACGTTTTCATTTCCTACACTTTCTCCTTGGCGCTGATCTCTATTCCAGTCTCTAATATTTTCCATAAAACGTTCGATCCCTCTCAGCGATCATGTCAAAAGTGTATTCCGATAGCGTTAGGTACCGCGACGTGATTGCCTTGTAAATTTAATTTAAGAATTTCACTAGGCTGTTGTGGTAATATTTGTAAACCTACGTGTCTGGAATGCCGGCTGGGGGCCGTCGAAAATATACGTGTAAATATTTAGAGCGTGTTTATATTCGTTGGGCCTTTTTTTTCTCACTTATTAGCCAGGAAGGGGCATTTTAAATGGGATTATAAGGGAAGGGACGTGATCTTTGCGTCTGTGCTGATGTACAGAAACTCAGAAAATTTTCAGCAGTGCCCCTTTCAGATAAAAAGTTTTAACGATATCACGGCGTGTGAAAAAATAAACGTGAAAGGAGGAAAGAGCTACTTGTACCTACTTACCAACATAGTAACACAGTCAGGACTTTCGTACTTTTCCTACTAAAGATACAGATCTAATAAACATTTAATATTAAAATACGGTACAGGAGTGGCACTGAAAAGAACTTCGTTCCTTAAAATTTTGCTATAAGCAGCAGCATCGCGTTTTGCAGTGCAAATTGGCTGAGCTTTCCTCCAAGTTACCACAATGGTTAGCGCGAGTGTTTGTTCTTTGCAAACAGACCGTAAATAAAAACTACGAACATTGCAGATATCGCTTTTTATTATTCTCTGTGTAAACGTATATATTTTGTACCTGTTATCGACTGATGGTGGAGATGATTAAAACGTAGATTGTGCGGCGTCTGTTGCGGTTGCGGTCGCCGAATCGTTTTCGACAAACAGTAATTACATGGGTTATAGTTTTACCCTAGTACTACAACAAATGCCCTAAAGAATAATAAGCACCAAGTAAATCGGCATTTCACACTTGTTTTAAAATAAAACAAACTCATATGATAGGTGTTTCTAAAGGCCAAAGGTAGCTAGCTTCCTTATAAATATGACCAATTTTCACCCTGTATAAGTATCGACGAGATGAGAAATAAAATCACTGCCTTTGTGGAATGGGCCACGAACATGCTTTATTGGGACTAAAATATTAGCAGCAACAATAACAGGTTCATATGCACGAAAATATAACACTGTTGACGTTAAATTATTGTGATTGTCTACTGGGCTGGGGAATCGACAGAAAATTAAAGATTGCTGGGTTCCTTAGAATGCTGCCTCATCTTCGGACGGGTAACCAATCCGCCACATCTTGCTCGTTAGGGTGGTACTGAAACAGAAAATTTTACCTCGTAACGATATAACCAACAAGTCAAATAATAAGGCCGCATAAACTTCTTTTGTAATGTATTTTTCTTCGTTATATTATTTAACTTTTTAATAGAAATCAGTTTTTTACTAATCTGAACAATAACAATGTTAAATTAAGCACGCTGCTGATAAATTTCAAACGTAAATGGCTGTATATTTTCCTGGTTGTATTTTTACAGCTCGTAATGTTTTAAAGAAAAATATAAGCTTAAAACAGGATATGTTTTTCTTTTCAATTTAAACGCAGAGGGTATGGAGACAATTCTTACGGACCCCGAGACGTTTGAAAGCAATAAGCGGGTGGTGAAATTAAATATTCCCTCAGATGTACGCTCTCAGGAAAGACCGCCGCCGCTAGAATTAAGGTCCCGTGTTCCCTTACACATTAATAATTATTCTTATTCCAGTTTTTCCAAATGTACACCCAGAGTAGTCATTTACAGTCTATTAACAAAGCCGGCGACGACATAAAGGCCGTATCGCGTTTCTTCGAGCAGAAATTAAAATTCTGGGGGGCGTTTACTGCGTCACGTCTAAATGGAAAACTTCTAATGGAAACGCGATGACAAATGCCAAGGGATGTGGCCGTGGTTTTTCTAATAAGGCAATAAAAGTTTTAAGTAATGGGTGGAAGTCGAAAGTTTCTGTTGTGACAAATAGCGAGGCTTAATACATATTATAAAACAGTTCAAATAGTAGGTATACATTATATCAAAGGCAGTTTAATAAGAAGGTTCGGTTTTCATTCCATGTGAATGTTACGCCAGTATTTTTGAATTCGAAGAGAATCATTTAATTTTGATACGTGAAACTAACTAAATCATGACTAAATCAATCTAGTTCTGTAAAAATTACGTGTAATTCTTAATAAATGGGTTCGTTTCTGGGAACATTAAAATTTCGCGATCTCTTTTAAATTCATCCGTCGTTTCTAAATCGCCATGAATGCAGATGAAAGGCGAAAGTAATAGCAACGATAACACTGCAACGAGGCACATCTGCAGTCTTTCGTTGTAAAGAAAGCTTTGCTTATGAGAAAACGTATTTGCTTCCACAGTTTCTTCGAGAGTCGTTTTACATATTTGTAATGTTTTTTATATAATATAAATATTTTGTAATACTAATAATAAATAATACTGTAATAAAATACATACATTTTTGGAAAAATATTTAAGTAAAAAGATATTCTTTCTAAAATATATATTACAAAATGATAACGCCTAGGGTCGAGGGGCGATCCGCTAAGGAAAAAACGTACAAAGATTACAAAATTTCTGAAATCTCTTGTAATGTATCTGCAGATTTCAATATCGATTAAAAAAAAATTACAAATTTCATATAAATAATCAAGATTACAATATCTTTCAACCGATTACAAAACATTTCAGGAGATTTCAGAGTTATTTTAGTAGATTTCAATGATTATTTAAGATTTCAATAGGATTATTCGAAATTAAAAGAAGATTTCAAAATTTCTTAATAATATTTCAAGGAATACGGGAAGATTACAATAAGTTTTGAATGTCCATTTGAACAAAAATAATTGAATTAACTTCAACTGTCATTCATTTCATTCATTAACAGTAGTGCTTTGATTAAGAATTTCCAGTATCATTTTTACGCAAAAATTGTAACATTCTGATTAAGTTTTTGTTCGAATGAACGTTAAAAACTTTTTGTCATGACAAAAATGATAACGCCATTTTGAAAGTAGGTAAGTATATATTTTTATTGAAAGATAAAAATATAATAATCCAATAAACTAATAAAAATAAAAAAATAGAAGTAACATAAAATAAACATTTTCCCAAAAAATAAATAATAAGAAATATTTTAAGCTTTTATTAACACTTGTATTTAATACTTTACCTGTATACAGTGTATTTAAAAAAGACGCGGCAATATTTAAGGGGGCGATTGCCCAGATCATTTTATAAAAAAAAGTTCCTATAAACATACGTCCGCAAACGCTTCGTTACCGATCTACAGAATGTTGAAATTTCATTAAAAAAACAGTAAAAATTAAATTTCTCCAAAACCTCTTGATATTATAATGAAATTTTAGGCCTGTCAATAGCTATGGCAGACGCGTACTTTGCAATACAAAACGATTTTTTAGTCTTACCAGTGACTAGCTATTTTTAATGAAAAAAATAGGACCCCGCTGGTTTTTCTAAAAATATAATTTTTTAATTCCTTGTTCAATTATGAAGAAGAAAGCTTTCCTCAGATTATACGCACCGTACGTCACACCGTTATTGAGTAAAAAAATAAAAAACATTTTATTGCGCACCTAAACCCAATGTTGTTTTAATTGAGAAATTTAAATTATTGAACAAAGAAATTCAAATTATCAAATTTGATTGATTTTTGAAATGTGGTACATACTGTTGTTTGTAGTAGGTAATAATAAGGGGCTGCGTTTTAGAGAAATTTAATTTTTACTGTTTTTTAATGAAATTTCACATTCTGTAGATCGGTAACGAAGCGTTTGCGGACCTATGTTTATAGGACTTTTTTTATAAACTGACCTGAGCAATCACTCCCTTAAATATTGCCGCGTCTTTTTTAAACACACTGTATACAAGTAAAGTATTAAATGCAAGTATTAATAAAAGCTTAATATATTTTTTATTTATTAGTTTTTGGGAAAATACTTACCTACTTTCAAAATAGCATTATCATTTTTGTCATGACAAAATGTTTTTAACGTTCATTCGAACAAAAAACTTAATCAGAATGTTACAATTTTTGCCCAAAAAATGCCTGATACTGGAAATTCTTAATCAAAGTACTACTGTTAATGAATGAAATGAATGACATTTGAAGTTAATTCAATTATTTTTGTTCAAATGGACATTCAAAACTTATTGTAATCTTCCCGTATTCCTTGAAACCTTATTAAGAAATTTTGAAATCTTCTTTTAATTTCTAATAATCCTATTGAAATCTTAAATAATCATTGAAATCTACTAAAATAACTGAAATCTCCTGAAATGTTTTGTAATCTGTTGAAAGATATTGTAATCTTGTTTATTTATATGAAATTTGTAATCTTTTTTTAATTGATATTGAAATCTGCAGATACATTACAAGATATTTCAGAAATTTTGTAATCTTCGTATGTTTTTTCCTTAGCGGATTGCCCTTCGGAACACACCAATCACACTATATAGGTTTCTGTCTAGGTTTCTGTGGCATCCTTTGGAAATTGAGGTAGGGGGGGCGTTGTATAACGACTACATCGACGAAATTGGTTAGCTGATTACACAGATTACAGCGAGGATTACAGATAAGATTACATAGATTACAGATAGATTACATAGATTACAGATAAAATTACGTAGATTACAGATAAAATTTCATAGATTTCAATTTTAAAGAGATTCTTAGATGATTACAAAATTTCAAAAAGATAAATATTAGAACGTCTTAACTACACGGAGATTGCAAAGATTTCAGAAACGATTACATAAGATTCCAGGGCAAACGTACGAAGATTACATCAGCGGATCGCCCCTCGCCTAGAGTTTTTTAATAAATAATTGATACGAATGATATTATGACCGTTGATCGCGAACACTCGAGAATCTCGGAATTATACAACTTGTACATGTAGCTACCATTTTTCCCTCCGCGGAATTTAAATCGTATATTTAAAAGTGGGTGCCCCGCCCTGATGTAGGGCCTGTGCCGATTTTCTTTATTAATATTAATACGGGACGTCGTGTCGGTCGTTGTCGCCGACTTGGAGAACTTTGAATTGACATTGTTTGTTTAAGCGGAGTGTAAATAATGAATACCAATAAAACGAGTGGTTTAGAAAGCAAGTACTGTGGAAAATATTCGCTAATGAATTCATTTTCTACACGCGAATATATAGATTAAGTTCCAGGCTGAAACTTCGCTTTGGACTGAGTGCGGTCTGCGGTTTCTCTGTTGATATAATTAACTATGCAGAAATTATAACCACGAGCCTGCAAAGTCTTCTCTGTCAATGCAATGTATTAAAATAAGATGGAATCAATTTAGTGTAGTGTATCCTGTAAATTGTGTCTGTGATTTAAACACTGGCATTTAATGCTCAAAACATACTTATTAAAAATATATATCTCAAAAGCATCTGATGGCATTCTAATTCTCCTTTCGTAATATCCGCTTTCCGTCTTCCCACAAACACAAAAAAACAACCGAACCGACGTGAAAATAATGACGGCTCGGCCGCATTCCATCTCTACAAATTCGCTGCTTGACAACCAACCGGGTACGGGTCGTTCTTCATTGTGTTAATTAGGCAAACACGCACTTGAAGCTCATTGTAAGGACCAGTAAAAGTTTATGGCGCTAGCCTCGCATTATTTTCAACTTTCCCTTTTTTAATGAACAACGAAAGTAACACACACACGCGAGCTTACATATAAAAACCGCGATGTAAACATTAGACACTGATGATCGCGCGTAACCTTGAAAGTTTCTGCGGTTAATCCGCAATAATAGTCGTCCTGTTTGAGATTCTCAATGGGCTTGGGGGTCAACAACGTTTTCCGGGGTGAATGGGCTATATTATTATTGGCCTTTTTTATTGTACAGCCGCATGATCCGCTTCGTAAAACAATGCATTATTTTGTAACATTCCTTAAAACTTGTTTGCATTTCTAAAAACCACTTGTATTCGGTTAGACGAGTAAAAAAGAAAGCGACATATGGAATTTAGAAAAAAATCAAGTTATCTTAATTTTTTTATTACGTTACGCCTAGAATCGCAAAATTAATTTCCTATTTGTAAATGCACAGTAGATAATCATCAGGTTAAAGAAGGTACCAATAGTTTGTTATTGGTTGCTGATTTTCTGATGCCCTTCGGGCGCTCTGAACATTTTATTCGAAACGGAAACGGATCCCAAACTCGAAATTCTGGAATAAAAGTGGATCGGCCGAGCGCGACGGATTTTTCCGGACAATTAGCGCGTTAATCCGGGATGCATTAGATAATTACTTCTTAAACACACGTCGGCGTTCTTTTCCCGATTGCACGCGTACCCGAATGCGACATTATTGAGGAGGAATTGTCCGAAAGATCTGTTCTAAACCCATTAGAAAATTACGGCGGCTCCGGTGAAACGCGCTTGATTGATTTCAGGGCTCTAATAAATTAACAGCCCCCGAAGTGGTTGCCGAGTCTAGTTTTTTTTTGTACGAGAAAATCCTTGATTCCTTTTTGTAGGAGCTTGTTTACCATTTTTCTTTCATAACTTTTTTTTACTATACAAAAAATATGTAGGTACTAAATAAAGCTGCGAACTATTTGTCTACCAATTGTAAAAACACATATAGTTCTTTTCATATATATTGTAGAAATAAAAAACTCTTTTATATTGCCGATAACGACAAAAACGGGGTCGTAAATACTTGTCTGCCTAGCAGAACAGGGTCGTATTTAGGCAAAGTTTACAGAATATAATTTTAAGTCTCCCTTCAAACAATTCACAACAGATACTACACAATGGCTATAAATTGAAAACAATTGTAGTGAATTACAAGTTATCCAATAAAAAACTTGTAATAACACAAAAATCACTACTCAAAACTCTATTCTAAGAAATAAGAATGACAGCATTGCAGCACCAACTCCTGCCCTGTACCGCGCAAACTGAACTATCAGAAATTTAAAGTAATAAGTGCACCGTGTCTAATTGTTGATTGTCTCTGTCTCACATTAGGAATTTGAGAACAACGTACGTCTTAAGAGAGATGTTCAGAATCTGTTTTGTTGCCAGCCCAGCTGTGTTGCCAAATGTTTCGGAGAGTTAGTATTGTCTGTACTAAAAATGAACAACATACATTTTTCAAGAATGAAGTGAATAATGCAATTATTCTTTAAATAAATGTACGCAAATTCAGCATATTCTTATATTTTCAGAACATAACTTAATATTTTAAACGTAAATAACTGAATAAATTAATTTCATTCAATTTAGCAATTATTCATTTATGGAATATTTTTGCATATCGGCAACACAGGCTCCACGTCCCGCGATTCAAGATCACGCCTATCTAGGGTAAAGCGGAACAAACAAATTAAATTATTCATTAATATCACTTTATTTCCCATTAATTTTGTATTCAATTTATCTAGATGAGTATACCTGATAAGAGCATTATGATCTGTGAAATAAATTAGCTGTTATAACATTTATTTTCTACGGACATTTAAAAATTGTCTTGCCCTACTCTCCCCATAACACATTTACCGGCAGACTTTGAAATTTTTTATGTCTACTATAAGTATGAAAAGAACTTATACACTATCGACTTATATAAATACCTCCAACATACGATTTATCAACTGGGTAATACATTTGTGTTGGTGTTTCGTACCGGGCCTTTAAAAACAATTTTTTTAAATATATGTCAATAAAATGTGGGTTTTCTTTGAAATAGCTGAAATTCAACATGATTTTATTTGCTGGTTTGCTTCGTTCTAAGCCTGGAAATTCTGTACCCAAGCAAATAACGACTTAATTTTCATTAGCCGGCAAATATCGCCCGATCAATTACACAGTTGGCTGGAGACATAAAACTGGCCGTTAGTGCGATGGTAATTAGCGATCGAAGCGGGCGCTGAGATCTGAAAGAAGCCTAACCTACATTTCAAAAAACGCAGTTAATGAGGTCTGTATGCAAAATACCCGCCGCCTATAATCGATTGTTTTTCTAACGCGAAAATTATACGTCGCTCGAGATCGCCAATGAGTCCGATGGGTATCGATAAAAAGCGCGAGACCTGAATAGCTGCGGCGCTATGTTACTTTCTCTGCAATTACATTGTCGTGTCGACGGCAGGCGGGAGGAAGAACAACGCGCGTCGAGACGTTAGTAGAGCGAGAAAAGGTGCAGATCGGGCGACACTCCGGGATGCTGTTAAGTAACATTATTTTGTCCCTAAAAACGCGAACTGTCTAACAATTTTCTAGTTGCAAAATAAAATTACCAAGTCTTTGATTCTATTTATCACAACTAGTTTCGTGGCGTCACGTCTTCAAGCTGCACGTTACTCAGCGGAAATTAATAAATGAATAAATTCTAAACTTTACTATACATTTCAATTTTTAGATTTATTCAACCGAAATGAAATATCTATCTTGCCATGGAAGAAAATAGAAATGGATTATTTGTGTTTTTCTATTTTGTTATAAAATCATTAAAATGTTATTTAATACGCCTGTATACAGGGTGATTCAGTCATAATGTCATTAATTTTAACCACGTATTCGGAAGGCTTAATAAAGACAGAAAATCGGAAAAAAAAATTTTTTACTCGACTTTTAAAAATGAAGGAAATCAACCCATAACTCCCGCTACGAGGGCTGCCCTGCCGATGCCCGGATGCTCGGAAAATTTTGTAACGTAATGTCACGAACAGTTGTCGGCTAAAGGAACAGCGTTGCCAAGTTCAGGTTCAAGCTCGCCAGGTTAGTATTTGACATATAACCGACCACTTCGTACACTCGATGCACCTGGGCGACTACAGCTACTACGAAAACAGCCGGTATTTTAGATTTTAAATTAAATTTGTTGATACGATTTTCCTTTGATAAAAGACCGACAACTTTTTGCTACTACACTCGTATTAGTCTAGGGGCTAGGGGCCAGATAGGTTTCCGTAGCCAAACAGAATTCCACGGCTGCAAATAACTTATTTTTAAGTATTTTGACTTCTCGAAACCAAAAAACTTGGTGGCAAAGCCTGAAAGTGGTCAGTTTAATTGTTGTTAACAAATTGAATGTTTAAATGGCTGTAAAAAGTTTATTTTTATAGCTAGTACAATTTTTTATCTGTTAATTATTACGTTTTCTCACAACAAACATATATTTTTTTGAAAATTAAAAAAAGATTAACTTTAACCAAAGTTATTGCAAATTTAGTGCAAATATATTACATTTTCCGTCTCTGCGCGCACCAATTTTACCATATCTCTGGTTCAATTGGACGGATTGAGACGCACATCTCATTTTAAAACTTAAACTTTATTTTACAAGATAGGTAAGTTCCATTGATTAATTAATTTATTTAAAAATTAATGGCAGCTTAGAAAGTTGTGGAATTTCAACGAAAATGTTGGCTTTATTGGTTTATAAAACTTTTTTTGTTATTCAATTTTTATGAAAAGCCAAAAAAGTTACCGGTTATTGTTCCTCGCATCCTAACAATGATTTCATGCCTTGCTTGATTGTTAGAATGCAAAGAACAATATCCGGTAACTTTTTTGGCTTTTCGTCGAAGTTGAATAATAAAAAAAACCTTATAAACAATTAAAACCGGCATTTTCGTTGAAATTTCACAACTTTCTAAGATGCCATTAATTATTAAATAAATTAATAAATAAATGGAACTTAGAACCAGATATGGTAAAATTAGTGCGCACGGAGACGGAAAATGTAAGAAATTTGCACTAAATTTGCAATAACTTTGGTTAAAGTTAATTTTTTTTAATTTCCAAAAAAATACATATTTGTTATGAGAAAACGTAACTATTAGCGAATAAATTGTACTAGCTATAAAAATAAACTTTTTACAGCCATTTAAACATTTAATTTGTTGATAACAATTAAACTGACCACTTTCAGGCTTTGCGACCAAGTTTCTTTGGATTCAAGAGGTCAAATATTTAAGAATAAGTTGTTTGCACATCTGGCTCCTGGACTATATGGTGCACGTGTGCAAATTAAAACTGGGTTAAAAGGTTACTGAACCACAGGTTACCCTAGGTCGGAAACACGACGTACCGAGTTGTTTATTTGTCTCCGTCCCATTGTTTTTTTATGGAATATACAAGTCTCTCTTCTAATTGCAGTCAATATTTAAATACTGCATACAATTTATCCTCTCTTTATAATTTATCTAGTGAGTGTTGGTTTTTTATGACATTATTTCTGTAACGAAATTGAAATGGTTATGAAATGAAATTTAAATTATTTGAACTTTTGGGGTTTTGTAACTTCAATATTAAATCTTATTTAAAGTGAAACAGCTAATTTCTTTGCAGCCATAATAGTCACATTTGGTCAGATGAAACACACTACTACCCGCACACTACTCGTCGGTGGTATAGCTTTCAGAGGAGATTCGGTGTCAATGTCAATGGCGATCGTTTAATTGGGCCGCATTTTCTACCTGAACATCTGAATGGGCCGCGTTACTAATTTTTAGTAGAATTGTTTGAAAACCTTCCCCTTCGGGCTTACAGCAAATGTTGTTAAAATATTAAAATTATGATGCTAATAAAAACTGATTTTTGGCAAGGCATGCTCAGACCTCGAGGTTCTTGCTGGGCAACAATAACAATTTAATATGTTGATTGCATAAATAAAAAATAATTTATAGCATTTTAAATTATTATTGGTTGACGTGAGCAAAACCGTTTATTTATTGTCTTTATATGAGCGAAAATATATAAATATGGCAACGTTGCATCTAGGGCGCGTTGTTCATAGGTTCATATCGTAGCCGTGCATAATATTGTGACGTCAGCCGGTCAGTAACAGCCTGAAAAGGGGGTTAAATAATGATTTGAAAATATTTTTTTTCAGCTTAAATATGCATTTAAATTTTTTTTAATCACGCCATCGTATTATACTCATTTTTCTCTATCTGCTCTTAAAATTAATGACATTATGACTGAATCACCCTGTATCCATATTTTGAGGGAGGATTTAAATAAATAATCGATAACAAAAAATATTAATCGAGAAGAAAGCTCAAAGTTTCGTATTTGTGCACCGACGGGCGACGGCGCTGCCCTATTCAGTTTATCTGGACTCCCACAGGTGAGAGAGGTCAATACGACGACGAAAAATTAAAAACAATCTTACCTGGCCCTCGTAGTCGATAGCGGCGAAATTGGAATTGCTCTGTGCCCGTTTGCCGAATCTGGAATCAAACACAAAAATCACAGTTTGGACGTAATTAATTAATACTAGATACAGACATGAGAATTAATGTGGTAATGTGAAAAAGCATTTTTATTATTGTTATTTGCTTCAGAGACACACTGCAAACAATTAAGGTTCAAAGCGCATTAGATAGTGAGGAAAATTTGCTACAGTTTCGGATGTAACTTTCATATAAAGTTCCTTATAAAAATGAAATAGAAAAACGCAGCGGTTAAAATGATAATATTTGAACTTCGTTAATTTTTTCAACGTAATTAGGGAGCAAACAAAAATGATCCTTTAAATCAACCGGAAAAGGTTATTAGCATAACGTTTACTTTAGCACATTGTTTTTCAAAGTACATCATAATTTTATGTGTAAAGTCTATGATATTTTAAGATCGATAGCAGTAAAATACTAAATTTGGATAAAGTACCAATAGCTAAGTGCTAGAATCATTTTAATATGAAGTAAAATAGAGTTTATTTTGCCAGCAACGACTCCTAAAACGTCATACCATAGTGTCACGCTAATAGAGACTAATAAGTGTATTTGTTTAAGAAGCAATTTTGTACAATACCTATGTATGATGTTCCTGACAACGATCCAATGTTTGTAAAAAATATCAAAAACACTGAACACCCGAACATGAAAACGCCTGTCGCGCCTCTGGCTTACCTGTTGCTCGCCTGTAGTCGGCGGCGGCTTATCGAAGGCACCGCCGTCGACTTTATTAAACCAGCTCGCTGGAAATAACAGTTTGTTATCCGAGATGTTTGAGTTGTATGGCTCAGGGCTGATTTATTGGCCCTAATCGGGAAATGCCAACCGTCCATCGCCCGTGATGCAATTATTACTTGTGTGTTTTATTCGATTTGTTTTCCGTATATTACTGTTTGCTTGGCGACGGACTCCTACAAGAGTTAATCATCGTTACAAGCGTGGAGAAGCCGCCTACACTGCTAATTTGGAGGGATTAGAGGACGAACTGATAATTGGAAGTTTTAGGTGGCTGCAAACGTTAAGACAAAATGCCTCAATTAAATGTAATTAGTGAACTGGACCCGAACGTTCGTTAGGATTTAAGTAGGTGCAACGGAATTCCTCTTTGCAAACTTCAAAAAATCTATATCCGCATGAAATTGCTTGAGCTGTTTTGTAACAGTTAAAAAAAAGCGAACTATTTGCAAATTTTAACATTTATCTTTTCCAGTTTATAGCAGCTTTTTTTGTTGATTGTTGAAATATTAGTAACACCCCATAAACATAATGATAGCAATCTCTCTTATCTTATTTTTGCGTAATGTGTGCAATATTTTTCGGTAGTATTTTTATAAATAAGCGTTTACCTACTCTATCTTAAAACCCTCTAATCTGTAACTAAATACAGCGTGCATCAATATGCATTTAGAAACTAACAGCCGCTCAATTTGAGAAACATTTAACAGATTAAACGCTGCTAGGAAATTTCGCAAACTGTGCAAGGTTCTCGGCTACACTTCGCTGCAATCGGTTGACTTCCTAATCAGGTAGAAACGAAAATATATTCATGACATGGTCGATGTTACTTCGATTACCGAAAAGATAATATGTTTTAATTTGCAAATCTGCTGCTACAAAATGGTTTTATCGTCTGAAATCCCACGAAACCGATCATTCCAAAAGCTTTTACACTGATAACATTACTAACCTGTAAGTTCAGGTATGTTTTTTTTTTATTTAAATTGCTTAATTGTTTGTTATCTATGTAGAATAATACAGAACTGTTTATAATTTTACATATAGATACATTTGAAAGTGGTTAGTTCAAATTAAATCGAACACATTTCAAGAGTATTTAATAATAACGGTTACAATTGCACTGAAATAAAAGGCTTTTTTTCGCGACTGAATATTGGTGAATATCTGACTTGTAGTTACTATTTCTATCTCTTTTTATCTTACTTGTTATATGGCAGTTTACACCTTTTCACTCCTTCATACTGCACATACTACAACATTCGACATCACTCGCGAAAAAAAAGCCTAAAGTCCGTAACGGAGAGTGCAGGCCCACAAGTTACTGAAGCAATTTACAGAAGCTTGTCCAGATCTATGAAATATGAACAACAATTAAAGTTACTTAGTTATTATACTTATATTTTGTGGGCGCGAATGTATTCAAATCTAGGATTAGTTTAGGACAAACGGAAATGATTCAATGCAAACTAATGTTTCTCTCAGCTCAACAAATCTGTGGATATTTCTAATGATAAAACTGTATCTACTTTTCTCAGTTTGTTATATAATAATAAAATGCCGGATCGTTCTTATACTGAAATATTCGTGTCAAATTTATATCGAAATAATAGTTATCAACGAAAAATTTTCGATATTCTGATGAAGTCTCAAGTAGCACGCGCTAAGCTGTAAACGTTCGACTGCGTATTGACTATCAAACGAACGCTTTATAATTCAGTTCTCATCTTGTTTTAGATTATGTTAGCCGGGAAGTGGACCGAGAAATTGGATTCTGATCTGAAATATCAACGCTAAAGGAACTAACTCAAACTCCAGATTTATTCCCTTGGCGACATAAAAGTACTACTACTTGTAATATGTATATAACACGTACGCCATGGAGTTTCCTACATTGTGTCCTATAACTTTTCCGGACAGATCGGAGATGATAAAAATTGAACAAAGTGTTCGACGCGCCCACGCCTAAAGACTTTGTCACTTTCCGATATTGCATTCGACTGCAATGAAGTGAATTTTTGATGTGTTAATAATAAGCTACTAGAAATGAATTCGAGAAATTTAATTTTAATTTAATATTAAATTTCGAAAGTGTGACTAATGTATATATCTAATCTAGGTATATGTATGTCATAATACTATTGGAAATTAATAGGGTTTTTTATGTGAACATTTTTTCAGAAACGCTCATCCCTCTTCGAGTCACAGGGCGATTTAATTTCAAAAACTACTTTTTTTTTAATTTTCCAAGCTGACCGAGATAATCAAATTGGAAACACCTCATATTAGTACAGGTTATTAGACACCGGTGTCTTAATATTACAGAGATGTAAAGATTAATGAGTTTTCCTCTAAAATGACCCAAAAAGTGTGTCAGCGATGTCTTTAGACAAAAATTTGATTACATCTGCCCGATGCTCAGCAGTTAGCTATAATAATAACATAATTATTTCTAACGAATGACACAGGGTTGCCAGCAGTGGCGGTATATCGTCATTACGGCGAGTTTTGCTGGAAATTTTGAGACTAAATATTATTTTTAAGGAGCAGCTTCCAATTGCGGCAATTTAAAGAAAATTGAGGATTAATAGCGACTATAAAATCATTAGGTAATCCTCTTAAGGACATTCGATACACCTCTTACGGGGCGGGCGGTGCGGAGAGTATGCCTATGTTTATACACGGGAGTCTTGTTGCAGTACCAACCTTACATAAATTAATTTCAGCGAACTAAGTATGCTATTTAGAATGAAATTTATACAACACATATTAGCTTGCATATTTTTTTCGTGTTTAATACACGTCGGTTCACTTTTTATTTGAATAAAAGCGTCTATTTATTCATTACGAACTTGTAAAATTATGGAGGAAATCTGGCAACATTGCCATGGCGTGGTGGTAAAAGTTGGGTCAACTGTCATTACTGTCAACTTTGCGCGAATTCCGTAAACATGAATGAACAACCAAGGTACAAAGGAAAAGTAATGACTGAAAAGTATAAAATGAGTGTAAAACAGAATGTGGATTGATGAGAAAAAAATAAAAGGTGCAAACCGAGAATCCATATGATAACTATCAAGAAGTTCAATGTATGATGGTGAGACGTCGACTTGTCAAATTGAAGATTATGACATAACAACTAAACTGTTCGTTTTGCAAAGAGATCCTTTCAATTTTTGTTTCAAATTGCTAGTATATTGCTTTAGATCACGAAAAATTTATTTAATATTAATTATTACTACATATTTTTTCGACTGGAATAATTTTATAATCTATAATTGAGCTATTCAAATATAACGCATCAGTCCAAGCATTAAATTCAGCGTACAGTGTTGCCATATTTCCTTTCATTGGATCAGATGTTTGTTCAAATTTGTTAAAACGTTATCTATTCATTCCATTATCTCAATAATTACATTGTAAGTGCATATTTTTATTGTTTTAAAATGTTTAGTAATATTTAATTCTATAATTACAATTTTATTTTCCCGATCCTAACCATTTTTAAGAGCAATATTCACGTTTGATTGAAGTTTTTTCCCAACTCCCATAAGAGCCTGTGTAAAAGAGCATAATTTTTAAATTCATTTTTCAAAAAAACTACGTTGTCAATCGATCTGATATTTTTACACAAGTCAGTTTGCATATTTATTAACAGATTTCAATTGCTTTGAAAACATTCTTACCATTTTTCTTTTGGTATCGAACCTCCTTAAGGACAGTACTTATTGTTGTGGATATTTTCTGCTACATTACTTGGTTTGTGATTGTCTTTTTAGCGCTCTCTTTGTTTTTCCTTTTTTTTCGAAATTGAATCGATTAAAAAATATTTTATCAGAATATGTAAACGTCTATAATGATATTTGTTTGAATCGTTTTGTGTGTGTCACAGGAAAATCATATTAACCAGAGTTGTAAATTTCAACTAGTACCAATAAGGAGTAGTGGATTTTTTAACTTGATCACTTCAAAAGAGATAATTTTTGGAAAAATACCAAAAGCCCTATCGATATTTATTCAAAAGTACTACTCGGATTCTCCAGAGTTACACTTCCTTTCATCTAGAACAAAACATTAAAACAATAAGTTAATCAGAGTCATCTAACACCCCAATATATTTTTTTCAGTTCTTGTAGCATTAACTACACGCAAGTACAACACCGAAAACAGTAAAAATAAGCATTTAAGTATGGCTGTCAGTAGGCATATATGCTTATTTAATATCTTAGGAATGGAAAATTGTGAAAATAATATAAAGTTATCAACATTTCAAGCCACATAGTGAACCAAATTCCAGAGAAAACCTAGCGGCAAAAAAATACAAAAAAAAAGAAATTGCAAACCAACAAACAAAATAGGAAAAATGGAAGAGTTAAGAAAAGTTAAGTGTGTGTGTCTCGTTCGAGTATTTTTTTTTGCTCACCTAGGTCTAGCTCTGTCCGCGTACAGCCTATCGAGCTCCTGAAGCCTAAGCATGTTGATGGCGCGCTGAACTTTCGGACCCATTTCGCCTTGGACGGGCCCGCTTCGCACACTACCTACCACCAGCACGCGTTAGCCAACTCTCAATTCAACTACATTGGGTTATACACATGGGCATGCACAAATTCCTCAACATTTTCAACACATCGCATGCTGTAAGTGTGAAAACCGACGCAGCGTCGCTTTGAAAACAGGTACGTTTTAATTTGAAATGAGCCACATAAAATTATCAGTTACGGACCTGTTTTAAAGGCACACTACTTCATAAACAGAAAACATCTACGGACTTTAAAAACATCCGTAATACTCTTGCTACATTTTCGTTTCCTTCAATAACTTTTATGTTCTATTCTTTTAATTCATTTAGAGTCACTACTGAGTATTGGTGATCTACGAAGTATACAGGGTGATTCAGTCATAATGTCATTAATTTTAACCACGTATTCGGAAGGCTTAATAAAGACAGAAAATCGGAAAAAAAAATTTTTTTCTCGACTTTTAAAAATGAAGGAAATCAACCCATAACTCCCGTTACGAGGGCTGCCCTGCCGATGCCCGGATGCTCGGAAAATTTTGTAACGTAATGTCACGAACAGTTGTCGGCTAAAGGAACAGCGTTGCCAAGTTCAGGTTCAAGCTCGCCAGGTTAGTATTTGACATATAACCGACCACTTCGTACACTCGATGCACCTGGGCGACTACAGCTACTACGAAAACAGCCGGTATTTTAGATTTTAAATTAAATTTGTTGATACGATTTTCCTTTGATAAAAGACCGACAACTTTTTGCTACTACACTCGTATTAGTCTAGGGGCTAGGGGCCAGATAGGTTTCCGTAGCCAAACAGAATTCCACGGCTGCAAATAACTTATTTTTAAGTATTTTGACTTCTCGAAACCAAAAAACTTGGTGGCAAAGCCTGAAAGTGGTCAGTTTAATTGTTGTTAACAAATTGAATGTTTAAATGGCTGTAAAAAGTTTATTTTTATAGCTAGTACAATTTTTTATCTGTTAATTATTACGTTTTCTCACAACAAACATATATTTTTTTGAAAATTAAAAAAAGATTAACTTTAACCAAAGTTATTGCAAATTTAGTGCAAATATATTACATTTTCCGTCTCTGCGCGCACCAATTTTACCATATCTCTGGTTCAATTGGACGGATTGAGACGCACATCTCATTTTAAAACTTAAACTTTATTTTACAAGATAGGTAAGTTCCATTGATTAATTAATTTATTTAAAAATTAATGGCAGCTTAGAAAGTTGTGGAATTTCAACGAAAATGTTGGCTTTATTGGTTTATAAAACTTTTTTTGTTATTCAATTTTTATGAAAAGCCAAAAAAGTTACCGGTTATTGTTCCTCGCATCCTAACAATGATTTCATGCCTTGCTTGATTGTTAGAATGCAAAGAACAATATCCGGTAACTTTTTTGGCTTTTCGTCGAAGTTGAATAATAAAAAAAACCTTATAAACAATTAAAACCGGCATTTTCGTTGAAATTTCACAACTTTCTAAGATGCCATTAATTATTAAATAAATTAATAAATAAATGGAACTTAGAACCAGATATGGTAAAATTAGTGCGCACGGAGACGGAAAATGTAAGAAATTTGCACTAAATTTGCAATAACTTTGGTTAAAGTTAATTTTTTTTAATTTCCAAAAAAATACATATTTGTTATGAGAAAACGTAACTATTAGCGAATAAATTGTACTAGCTATAAAAATAAACTTTTTACAGCCATTTAAACATTTAATTTGTTGATAACAATTAAACTGACCACTTTCAGGCTTTGCGACCAAGTTTCTTTGGATTCAAGAGGTCAAATATTTAAGAATAAGTTGTTTGCACATCGGGCTCCTGGACTATATGGTGCACGTGTGCAAATTAAAACTGGGTTAAAAGGTTACTGAACCACAGGTTACCCTAGGTCGGAAACACGACGTACCGAGTTGTTTATTTGTCTCCGTCCCATTGTTTTTTTATGGAATATACAAGTCTCTCTTCTAATTGCAGTCAATATTTAAATACTGCATACAATTTATCCTCTCTTTATAATTTATCTAGTGAGTGTTGGTTTTTTATGACATTATTTCTGTAACGAAATTGAAATGGTTATGAAATGAAATTTAAATTATTTGAACTTTTGGGGTTTTGTAACTTCAATATTAAATCTTATTTAAAGTGAAACAGCTAATTTCTTTGCAGCCATAATAGTCACATTTGGTCAGATGAAACACACTACTACCCGCACACTACTCGTCGGTGGTATAGCTTTCAGAGGAGATTCGGTGTCAATGTCAATGGCGATCGTTTAATTGGGCCGCATTTTCTACCTGAACATCTGAATGGGCCGCGTTACTAATTTTTAGTAGAATTGTTTGAAAACCTTCCCCTTCGGGCTTACAGCAAATGTTGTTAAAATATTAAAATTATGATGCTAATAAAAACTGATTTTTGGCAAGGCATGCTCAGACCTCGAGGTTCTTGCTGGGCAACAATAACAATTTAATATGTTGATTGCATAAATAAAAAATAATTTATAGCATTTTAAATTATTATTGGCTGACGTGAGCAAAACCGTTTATTTATTGTCTTTATATGAGCGAAAATATATAAATATGGCAACGTTGCATCTAGGGCGCGTTGTTCATAGGTTCATATCGTAGCCGTGCATAATATTGTGACGTCAGCCGGTCAGTAACAGCCTGAAAAGGGGGTTAAATAATGATTTGAAAATATTTTTTTTCAGCTTAAATATGCATTTAAATTTTTTTTTAATCACGCCATCGTATTATACTCATTTTTCTCTATCTGCTCTTAAAATTAATGACATTATGACTGAATCACCCTGTATATGACATATCTTTAAATGTCATTACACCCCCCAATATCAAGTAAATATTTGTCAGGAGAAACGCAAGGCAAATGCATAAACAAATATACTGTGTTATTTGAGGGCTTCTTTATAAGCTTAGCTATATGATCGAAAATTACTGTAGGTATTGTAATCTCACCGCGTTTAGATTGATTTTTAACAATGACAGGTGCGCGTCAACATCCCACGGAGTTATTAACTTTGATCCCCCGGGTATACGTGAGAGTTGCATAGCCTGTGCTTCCTTTTGAACCACTCCACAAAGGTGCTCCTTTACCGTCATGCATGTAACCCGACTATAATTTAACCCCGCGAAAGAAGAAACCTTCCGAGAGAGGTGCACGCCGTGTACATACTAATTCGTTTAAATTTAAGGCGGAGTTTTGCATGTTTGGATTAATCCGTACAAAGTTGGCTTTATGCGTTGCAAAGCAAAGTGACGTCAGTGGATATACACAGAAGATTGTTGATAAATTTTAAAGCAAATAAAATACGTTTAGACTCTTTCATCTTATTATCTCTGCACACCAAAATTCCATTAAAAGTACTTAAAATTATTTAACTATTAACTAGAATTTAATACTTAATACCTTTGAAACTAAAATGCAATATTATGTCATTAATAAAACTTTTAACGTCATACCTAATGTCTTTAAAAGTAAAAAAAAGTTTATATGTAGGTACTTAGATTGTTAGATAATTTCATTATTTCCTTTATTTATTTCCAAATTTATTAAAATAGTTGATTCAGTTGTAATATATTTTTAAGAATAAGAGAATTGTCTTTCGCAGTAATATATAGGATGATACTTTTTCGGAACCATGTATAATCCATCAAAATTTATATTTTTTATCATCAGAGTCGTTAAAACAGCGTCGGCGTAAGTGGCTTTAGGCGACTCTCAGTTTTGTTTTGAAACTTCCTGATTTCGGCAAACTTACGCCAACTTGTAGTCCCGCTAGAATCCCTTAGACTGCCCAGGGATGCAATTTAAATTTAGTTTCATAACTTGGCTCTCAAGGTTATCCGCACTAATCTCTAATATGTTAATATAGAAAGCGATAACACAAGGTATATTTTCAATTCAGGAAACTAGTAATACAACCCGTCGCATATCTGTACCTTGGGTATTTTTATCTATCTACCCATATAATTCCCGTCGTCTTTATCATTGTAGCAGCAGGTCTTTGTGGGACTAACAATTGAATTACAACTCGATACGACAGGGATGATTTACATGAAATACATATAATATATTATTGTTCCAGTCCACCGAGGCCTGTTTGTTTGTTTAACGATATGTTGTATAAATATATCAACTTCCCTGTGCAGATGGATGTTGCAGGTTTTGATTGAATTTTATTTAATCTCATTTTACTACATACAAAAGTCTTTTATTTATTTCGAATATCCGTGACTCCACTAATACTAAACGTAAATTCAAGTCTTGACGGCATGTTCGAACTACAAATGAACCCTTTTTACCATGCAGCAAAATTTCGCTCAAATACATTTTCAACTTTTTTTATGTATATTTGTTTTATTCGTCGGCGGGGCTCGTGTAAAACTTTTTCAATATTTATGCAAAAACCAGAAAGGGGCGCCCTTTATTTTAAATTAACACAAAAGAATTAATTTAAATATATATCAAGCTTACTCCCTAAAAATTCATTACGCAATTTCGAAAACCTTGCGGCATCTGCTGTTAAAGGAAAAAACTCTGAACATTTCGACTAAACTATTAAATAATGTAAATATATTTAATAGAAAATAGCAAGCCGGATAAAATTAAAGTACATCGGGCTTACGTTCACAAAATATTAAATTAATTTTTACCTTGCAACAAAAAAAAAAAACAAATTTTACTTTATGGCTTGCAATAATTTTGGCATAAAAAATAATTATCTATTATTAGGCAACATAAATGAAATGAGGAAACCAGCATAAACAATACTAATTATTAATAAATCATAAATATTGTGTTTATATAGGTAACATAAATACTAATTTCTATGCAAAAAGAGAAAATTTTATCATCACTTTTTTATGCAAATCTTTGCATAACAATGACGACAATGGTACTGCTCATCTATTTTTAGGAATGTCCTTAAAAATTGCAGCTCCGACTTAAATCATCTAAAAAAAGGGTGACAAAACTATAATTTCAGCAGATATTACATCCCACGTATGTAGTTAAATTAATAAATGGGACTTGGGACTTCGTCTTCACGCAGATTTGTTTAATATAAGCCAAGGTAACACATGTGACTAACTGTTGATGGCGCCGCAATGAAGCGAAGGGAGCAGGATTTTATTATACTCCGGATTAGAGGTGACACATGTTTCTCACATCACTGCAATACTTGTACTCGATTTTAGGAATATCGTAATAATTATTAATAGAAGAATAATGCCCATGATGTAAAACTGACCGTAATGAAAATTCTAACTAGATATGTTCTTGTAGGAAGCAATAACGATCGGGAAAATCGTGTTTTTACCCTCTAATATTTCACGTCGACGTTTCCGATGTAAAATGCATTTTAACACCGTGTTTCTACCCAGCCGAGAATATATTAAAGTTTCAATTAAATTCTATGGCTCGGCTTTCTCCAAATCGTTCATAAATTTTCGGTCCATCGACGCGCAATACATTTTTATTGAAACTACTGTGTTTTACATATGCCAGTATTCGTTAAAAGTTCGATTCTCTGGACCGTAAACATTCGTGATTCTTGCATTAAACCGAGAAATATGTAAGAGAACGATATTGCTTAGAAAACATTTTACTATAGAGTCGGGATTTTTATAGGAATCACTTAATTGGGGATTCTATTCAAATGAAATCGTATTTATTACTAAGGGTTCCTGAATTTTCAATGGAGATTTAAGAAGTCGCGGAATATGTCTGATTGCAATTAAGAGGAATAAAAATCGGCATATATTCATAGAAAAACGTGTCAATTTCAAATCAAATCTCGATTTTATTCGAACTTCATGCAGCTTGATTCACAATTAAAGTTTCAAATAACGTTCTATATTTACATAGTTTTCAAGTTTTCCTGATTTTAAAATAGATAAAATTTCTGTCCGGCAATAAGTATTTTCTTTAGTATCTATTATCCTTTAAAAATAATTGCTTTTTAAAGCGTTATTTATTTATATTTACAGTTATTATATATATTAATAAAATATGTTGGTGTTGTATTAATAATTTCGTAATGCAATGAGGAAAACTAAGAGAAGATGCAATTTCACTACCTGCATTAAAGCGGTGATTTTTCTGTCTGCCGAATGAAGCAATTTTAAAGACTTTTCCCTCCCTTGTGCAGTACATAATACCCCCCTTAAGACAAGAACGCTTACGCTGTACGTTTAGTACGAGAAATTGTTTCATTAAATCCTGTATGTTCGTAAAAGATAAACCCGACCGACCTTCAGACGAAATGACCGAGGAAATTATTGTGCCATGAAAATTGTGTGGTTTATTTCCATTTAACGTTAATGTCATCGAACCCATAAGAATCTTAAATAGATTATTTCAGAATATTTGCAATTATATTTATATATTTTTTCTCTACAACAAAAGATATTCTAAATATAGGTTTTCCGTTTTATCGCCGAAATCCGTGCACCTACAGTACCTACACGTCCCTAGCAACCGTTGTCAAATGAAAAAAAAAGCAGCATGTTTTTAAAGCTTAAGCAAAAACTTAAAAAGTTTGAAGTATACGAGGTAGAAATGTTGCGAAATCGATTTCAGACATATTTTGATGAAACTTTAGATTTTTTAACAGAATCGTACTTATACTGATCTTAAAAAAAGTCCCGACAACTAAGTTTGCCTGATGCATGAAAAAAGCAAAAGCTAAATATAGTACAAATGTTAGTTTTCCGCCGCTCAGCACTTCTTAGTTACTTTTAAGCCCGCTTGATAAGGAATTAAAAGGGTGCCTATCGCAGAAAAGAACGACGATAATGCTTTGGGAGGATGGTCGTGAAAGTTTGGGTCTCAGCGACAAATCTTCGTTTAAGTATCGCCAAGGGTGGCGGATTCCAGCAGTCAGGGACGGGATAAACGGCTTTAATCTTGGCCGGACACTCGTCTGGTTCACGCTGTCGTTTAATTGAGGCGCAGAAATACGGGGTGTGTAAAGTTTACGGGAAACGAATGAGATTTGTTTAATAAAAATCTAGGGGCGAGATGTGTCACTGATGCGACCTTACAAGTTAAGTGTAATTTTCTAATAAAGCAACTGATTCGTATAAAAGTGTACCGTGTGTGTGATCCATTATTCTCTTTCCACTGAACAAAGGGTATCGGCATACACATATAGAGCGTTCTGACGAATAGCAGAATATGTCGAGAAAATAATCGAACATTAGAATTAGAAAAAACATCGTTTTTTACAGAAAATTATATCATTCCTTCAACTTCATCATACAATGGAGTAATAAATATAAATTTTGAGTTGGTTCTGACGTAGTAGATTCGTCTTTTCGAAATTTGTTCGAAAGTAATGAGTAGAAATATAGGCGTTATCTACTTCAAAGAGTTCATTAGCTATAAGGGAAACTGTAATATTATATTTAGCTTGTAAAATACAATACCTACCACCTCATTAATTTCAACAACAAAAAAATGATTATTTAATAAAAGAAAAAGAGGATTACAAACTGTTTGCCGTACTTTTAACAGTACAAAGGGAAAAATTCGGAAGGACTGTTACCTCGGTCTGGCTATGGACGAATACATCTGATCCAACTTCAGCAGCTCCCTGAACATATCTTCGTTGCGTGGACTGGGGGCAGCCCTAGCCGCCCAATTACCCTGAAGTACCACCACTGCTACCACGACCACGAACCATGCAATAGCTGGCCACCTCATTTTGATGCCTTCTTGGTTAGCTTACTTATAACGTGAAGTCCTGGAATTAAAAAGATTCATCGTTACGTCATTCATTCTATATTTCGCACCTAAAATTATGTTTCGTTAGAGGCGTGATAAATTGTAACCACTGACGTTGAATTTTTTTCAAAAAAATGTGCTAAAGAATTGTGAAACAAAGCAGTTTTTCACACTTTCATGAGTTTCCCCTGAAGTTATTCGTAGGATATGATATTCCACCCTTCCCTGCGATCTTTACGACAGAGTACGGAAGACAACTAATAAATATTTGAGTAATAGATAGATTGTAGCGCATCTGTTTCGGTTCACATCCATCCCCTTTCGTCTAATCTTGGTTCAATAATTTCCTTTTTCAGCAGACGGTAAGGGTGCATTGCACGCCGGTAAAATTATTAATTATAAATATCAATTAACCAGAACTAACTTATTACAAGTTATCCTTAAAACTACTAATGCAAACTAATGTTTCTCTCGGTGTATGAGTGATGTTATTAAAGTATTATCAAGAATGATATATAGAGCATAGCAGAATAGAAATTAAAAAGGAAATTTTAAATCAAGACTCACACTTAATGTATTTGTTTACAAAAAATGAGACCTTTATAAATAGATTTTTAGTAGATTAGTGAACAACGACTACACTCAAATACAACGTCTCCCTTATTCAATTACAATAATATCAATGTGGGTGTTTTAGGTGGCATGCGAGAATAACATTTCAAGGAGCTTTTACTAGAAATTAGACACCTTTATTAGACACAAATGTTATGGGAAAGGTTATTTTATTTACAGGATACTTCCATAAAATGTGACGTACGTACGTATTTATTACTTTTTATCATATTTATTTAAACTTAGTACCTGATTGATATATTTTCCTTATATTAATTTTTTTTTAAGGTCTTTTTAATTACCGGGATATGGACACCGTAAAACAAACAATGCACCCCTTGTACAGGTAAATGAAACTTCTAGATTCTGAAAAACTCCGAACTTAATTATAAGTTTATAATTCGCGAGCCTCATTTCTAGAGGAAGACACCCTTAACGTCTTCATGGCGAGTTGCTCAAAGAAGTGGTAATTAATCCGCAAAAATAATTGCTCCACCGTCTACACGTGGGCTGATGTCTCTACTGCAAAAGACGAAAGAAGTTCCTGTTCGTTCTTATAAGAATTCATCGGAGTTTATTGTTTGCTAAGGGGTATATTACAGAAAAACTCGTCTAAAATATATTTAGACGTTTCTTTCTTCCCACTTTAAATCAACTAAGACATCTCAGAACCTCTATAATTTTTATATATCACAAAGCTCAGTAATTTGATAGTAACATCCTTGAATTTTCTCTGAATCAACAGGTTTTTTGTTCGAGGAATCCCATCCGTTTAATCTAATTGAACACCAAAAGAGTATCCGGCATCTCCCGTCGAGGCAATTACCACACTGTGAATTTATAATCAACTTCAAAAATGTAAATGCCCTATTTTTGTTATTAAAATTTGCATAATTTCACAGGTCGATTAATTAAATCGACTATGATGTCGAACGCAAAAAACCAGGGAGTTGGAAATTGTGGATTCAAAACACCTGAAATCTTTTTTATTTTTTAATGAACTGCATTTTTGAGTTGGATTGCGTTTGTTTAGTGATTTTTTTTGTCGAATATACCAACTTGGTATACAAAGGCAGTATACAGGGTGATTCAAAAAACCGCTGACAAACTTCTAGGGTAAGTAATACATGAAAAATTAAGACGAAAAGTCTTAATAAACATAGGGTCGCAAATGCCTCCTTAACAAGATACAGGGCCCCAAAGATTCTGTAAAATTAAAGCGTAAAAATGACAAAAAGAAGCTTATAAACTAGTTTACTTAACTCACTTGTATACACATTGACATTAGTGACAGGCGATGTTTAATTTTATTTTGAATAGCACAAGCCTACTATGCGAAACTAAAATGAATGAAAATAAAATTGGATTCACAAATTTTCTACAAAGGTGTTTCTCTTAAAAAAGGTTACTTTAATCCAAATTTTGCAAGAGACCAATTCGATAGACAATTGAACACTTTACAAGAAAATAGTACCCTTTTGACAAAATTAGAAGTGGTGTAGAAAAGAGATAAGATGGAATCATGTGGGGGAGAAAGGACGATTTCTATAATTTTTTTATCGTTGGCAACATTTGCAAAATATGTGGGAATACTATATCTATGATCACAAATGTGTTTCTAAATTAGGACTACTGTTATGAATCTAATACAGGAATTAAAGGAGCCTTGCAACAGGTACTTCGTCAAATTGGTTCGTCATATTGTTAACTATTTTCCCTATTATTTGACAAACAACGAGTGCAACGTTAAAAAACGAGACTGGGCGATAGACGCACATGCATTTGAAGCCCATTCAGCTATAACACCGTGTCATATGCATGCGAACTGTACACATTCAATACTCAATTTGCGTTTCTGCCTCAACGGGATCCGTGACAGGGATTGAAGGGTGAACCGGATTCATATTTATTTATTGGAAATGTTGCCAGATACGCAATGGAATGTTTCTTGCTTGCGTCATCAAAAGAAACTTGAAAACGTTTCTCTCAACTGAGCAATACTTCGCCAGTAAAAATTGTTATCGGTTGTTTGTTTTCGTTTATCGTTTTTCTACACATTTGCATACCATTTTAACGGTTTTTCGGCGTAGTGCGAATTCCAATTCATTTGAAGGAAAGCGAGGAATTTAATCGCAATCGCAGCCCCCTTACCACTCACTGTGTATTAATTAAGATACGCCTCGGTGTGGCTTCATCTCAACTAAAATTGATGTATGTACTAAGAAATTCAGTCGTGTTAAGATAATAGAACAACATCTCTTAGATTAGATTAGATTAGATTAGATTAAGATTATTAACAAAATGGGTAGAATTTGCAGAGAAACTTCTTCTTACGCATTTTCAAATGTTTAGATTATTCCTGTTCCGTTTAGTATTAGTACCTTTATTAATTAGGCAAGTTAAAAGTTTGCATACGTCGGCCTAAAACCGCCGCTTAACTTTTGTTGTCGGCAAATTTTCACCGCTTCCGTCAAAGTTCGTAATATAATTAGAAAGTTTTATTGCAGATCTCACACCGATGTACTGTGACTTTATTTAGCCACTCATGAAACGTCACAAAGAAAAGTGTGGGTACTGCAATTACGTCGCATCCAATAATTTTAAAAGCATATCCCAAATTAACGGAATATTTGTACAAAATGTTCCTCCCATATTTTAATTAAGAAAAAAGTTTTAAAGTAATCTTAAATTTCATTCTGAAGTCATCCATCAAAAAACCTTCTTTTACGTGATGTTGCGATACATTTACCAAAAATTGTAGATAAGTTGGCTTCACTGATACTTCTCCATTTACGTGGTTATTAATTTACTCGTAAATATATATTTTTATCGCAACAGAATAGAAAGGTGTAAAATTAGGCAAAAGTGATGAGCAGTGCTTATAATCGATACAAGAAAATTTTATGTGACGCAATAAAATTGACAAGTAACGGCGAAATATAAAGTGCACTAGAAACGACAATAAAAAGGAGTAATGCAGACAATAAAATATAATATCATCCCGTGATTGCACGTATTTTTTTTACCGAAATGTGTTATTCAAAACTGTTCCATTTCAGAGATCTCATTAAATTTTTCCTATAAATTTCTGCAAGTTATCACCGAAAATTACTTTTTTATACCTCAATTAATGCTTAGTCTGCCCCGAATCGTATTTTTTCCAAATTCTCCTTCATTTAAAACCGGTGGATGGATTAACATTATATTTTCGTCCAGAGAATAACAATTAATGGTTATGAACACTTCCGATGACGTGACGGCTCCACTCAACAGCGACGGTTAGTTTATCGGGGTAATTCCCAGGTGGCGCGGCATGTAAAACGGTTGATAAGCATCGTCGGCAAAGCCTACTGCGCTCGCTACGTACCTTCGCGAGGAACGAAAGAAAGCAAAACTTATTGCATCAATGTAAACCGACGATAAGCGGTCGAGATCTAATTATGCTGCCATTAAGGTAAAGGTGGGATTTGCGGAATTCGCCGGGAGGAAGAAAACGCCAGAAAATTAAATCAACCCTAACATAATCCCCGGAGTTTTCTCTCGCCACTTAATTTTTATTGCACCTTCGCCTTGACTCAGAGCTGTCAGCAAATGCTATGTTTTTATACAGGGAATCTATAATTCAGTACTGCGATTCGAGAAAATGGCGAAGTTTACGGGACTTCTCCCCAGGGCTTGTCTTACGACGGCAAAGTATAACGATGTGTTTATATTTAGTATATTTATTCCTAGTTTCCCTAACAACATTTAGTGAGGTGAATATTTAGGTACAACGAAATAATGTCTTTTCACATTTTAAATTGCCTGCCCATAACTGCTGCTGACAATATCACCGCGTTAACATAAAACTTTCTTTCCCTTCCCGCGCGACTTCTCGGACGTATTATTCTCCCAGAAAGCCTAATAATTCAATTCGGGGCATAAGAGACAATTTTAATGTTTCCCCACTTTATACTTTGGCTTTAAAAAAGCCCAAAGAGTACATTAGGAACACCCAGTTAGGTACACAAAAGAGGAATAATGAGGACGAGTGAGAGGCGCAATTGAAAAAGCAAAAAAAAAAAGGAAAACCAGTCTCTTAAATGAAGGATAACAAGAGAGGGCCATTTAGGCAACTTTAAAATGAGATGATAGCCGTAACGGAGTGTTTGCCTGCGTTTCAATTAGAGGAAGGTTAAGGCAAAAATTCGAGATTTAAAACTTTGGGTAAAAGGAAACGACATTAGTGTAATGCACGGACATTTTTAATATTACCAACGGTGAATTAAGGGAAGTTAAAGATCGAAAGATAAATAGAAGAATATGCCAATTAAAAAATGTATTATTAAACGAGTTTATATTCTTTTCAAGATCTACACAGAAAGAAATCGGGCAGAGATGTATGCTACAGGAATATAACGCAAAAACTGTAAGTATTATCTACTAATATCTGGTATTGTTATTCTGGATATATTTTTCTGTTTAAAAATTTATACTCCAACAAATCTAAAACTATGTATATTTGATGTTTATTGACAATTGAGTAAATATAGATGATGTATATTTGCTGCACTATTGCCACATTGTAATATGCATATAGTATTATGCTTGGTATGATTTTAATTGTGTTTTTATAATTTTGTTATTCATTACATTCAGCAATTACGGGAAAACGTTATTTCTAAAATGCGATACTGACGATTATAATGGGTAGATATAGTAACAAAAAAATATAGCAGAGGAATTTTTTTTATGAAAACTTCTTCGAATTTTTATGAAGTGTATACCTGTCTGTCTGAATTTTACTATTTGGGGCCTATTTTGCTTCAAATTGTAACAGTTTTATCTGCAATTGTTTGGGCGTCCACAGTATTTTTCTTACCGAGTGTACATTGTTAAATCTATAATCATTGGTAAAGTCAGAAGACAGATACATTTTTCACCAAACATTGTCGATAATTTTCAATATTCTTGTCTTATTACTTAATATACATTCTAAATGTATCTATGGTGTCCCATTAAAGAATCCGTTTAATATGTATGCAAATTTTAAAATTATTTGAAACGCGGACCCACCACAATGAGATCCGGCGAATCCGAATTTTCTGTCCTCAAAGATTTCCATTAAAATGTAAATATGCACGCCGGTTCAGGCACCCTTTGAATTTTCAAGTTATGTCACAAATAATGCCGACAAAGATAATCATGTGTCGGCGAGTCGTACTGACCTCATTAAAGTGGTTGAGAGATGTTCGCTGATTAGGACAAGTTTAAAATGAGGATTTCGTCCGGACCGAACGACTAACGAGCCTTTGTATCAACCACTTTCGTTTCCTCTTTGAGAAATCAGTACCGCCTAATCCAAAAATATTCTTTTCTGTTGTGACTCTTTGAAAACGGCAACCAAAAAAATTGTTTAGGGACCGTCTACATTTTCAAACCCCTGCAAAGATGACGTGATTAACTAATTGTATTAGGGAGCTAGGTTTGTCTTTCATCAAAATAATGTTAAGCTTAGTAAGTAATGTTTTTTTCTTTNGTGACTCTTTGAAAACGGCAACCAAAAAAATTGTTTAGGGACCGTCTACATTTTCAAACCCCTGCAAAGATGACGTGATTAACTAATTGTATTAGGGAGCTAGGTTTGTCTTTCATCAAAATAATGTTAAGCTTAGTAAGTAATGTTTTTTTCTTTTTATAGATATAAAATTTCTATAACCTTGAGTATGTACCTAGACCAATATTATTAAGAAAATAATAAATCTGCAAGGAAATCTTTATTATTAAATAAAACATTACATTTTTTAAATTGACTGGGCCGCGCCTATAGCATTGTTAAGGATACTGAAAACGTATTTATTTTGGTAGGTTACGAATTTGGAACGACTGCAATGTAGTAAACTATGTTATTGAACATTTTTCAATCCCTATTGGTCGCAGTGGAACTGTCACAAATAATTGTAATTAGAATTTTATATCGATGTAGGTGTTTTATAAAATTTCACTTCTAAATTTAGGTCGGGGGATGTGTCCTTTAATATAAAAATACATTGCAAACATTATGTTAACTGACAAATTATAAATAACCAATACAAATAGTTTTCCTCAAGCATTAGGTATGGAAAATATTCAACCTTAATACAAAATATGCTGGTAGAAATTAATGAGTGACAGGTAAAAAAAAGGGTTAACAATTTAACTGTAACAATTACTTTGGATGTAATTTTTACCTCTATGGAAATTATGTTAAAAATGCAATAAATAGCATATCTTTATCGAAAAAACATAAATGAATTTATACCATCAGCATTTCATTCACGCAAATTGCAAATTTCTGACTCTGTTTTTATTTCTTCCACTAAAATGACCACGAAAAACTAAGTACCTTTCATTTATTACAAAAAGAAAGGTACAATAATTATACAAAATATTTTAATATTTATTAACTTAATAATTTCCTAATACCGAATACTTTTTTGCAGTAAATTTTTTTAATCTGTGCTATTTCTAAATATTTTAATAATAAGGAAAAACAAATGAAATGGCAATGAATTGAAACTAATCAAAATGTTTAAAAAAAACTTGCCTTTGGAAAGTGTGCGTCGACCGAAAGGGATGAGCGACAGTATGTAAGAGGTTGCTGGGCACTGTGCAATACGTATTCACCTGTTGAAACTGTTAGGATGAGTTGAGACTGTTTGCCGCTTCTCGCGGGCCCTTTTATATGCATTTAGTACGCACGCCGGCGCCACCGCCGCCGAGAGGCGGCCCGCACGACTCTCCCAACGCCTCCTGAACGCTTAACGCGATCTCAGCCCGGTCAAAAGGACGATTTTTGAAATTTTGAAAACGTAATTCCAAATTTCGTACAAGCAATCGTTAATCTCGGCGAAAACTCGGCAAGATAAGCATTTTGTTACAGTTGAAGAAAAAGACAAAGGCTTCTGGGTCTCTTTAAAATTTCATTTTTCTTTCCTCGAATATTCGTTCTCTTCAAAATAATTAAAATGTTTGTATAGATTACACAGGCCAACAAGGAAAAAATTCCAGAGATCAGACACTACGCTTCCGAAGGCATTTGGCGCGCTGAATCCGAATCTGGCCTCAGAATTGATCCATAACCCTAGGTTTCCGAGATATTCTAACCTAAAAGTGCAAAAAACACGTATATTTGCTATTTTCAAGGATATGTAACTTGGCGAAAAATTTTTTTTTCTCAAAACTGAAAATATCATTGGAAACTACTATCTTTCCCCTTCAAAACGCATTTTTTTATTTGTAAAAAGCTTTATTTTTCGCGGAGATATCGTCGATTAAAGATGATCAGTATAGCTACCTTATTAAACCATGGCTCGACCTATAACACAATTAATGGGTATTATGGGTTATTGGGTAATAGGGCTTGAAGTTAACCTTCCTGACGATTAGGGCTCACAGCGCTTAGTGTTGTGGGGTTATAGGGCTTGGGATTAACCTTCCAGACATATAGGGCTTGGGGTTAACCTTCCTGACGATTAGGGCTCGCAGCGCTTAGTGTTATTGGGTTATAGGGCTTGAAGTTAACCTTCCTGACGATGAGGGCTCGCTCCGCTTAGTGTTGTGGGGTTATAGGGCTTGGGGTTAACGTTCCTAACAATTAGGGCTAGCAGCGCTCAGTGTTATGGGGTTAGCCATGATGTAATAATATAGCCATACTGGTCATCTTAAATTGACGATATCTCCGCGAAAAATAGAGCTTTTTCCAAATAAAAAAATGCGTTTTGAAGGGGAAAGATAGTCGTTTCCAATGATGTTTTCAGTTTTGAGAAAAAAATTTTTTTCGCCAAGTTACATAACCTTGAATATAGCAAAAGTACGTGTTTTTTGCACTTTTAGGTTAGAATATCTCGGAAACCTAGGGTGATGGATCAATTCTGAGGCCAGATTCGGATTCAGCGCGCCAAATGCCTTCGGAAGCATAGTGTCTGATTTCTGGAATTTTTTTTTTTTAAATTTTGTCGGTCTGTGTTATCGTTATAAAGTACATGGTTGTCCGGAATTTATTTTTGGAATTAGGCGAAATCAAAGAATTTCTTACAAGTTACAAGAAATATCCTTGCTCGATATGTATAATAGATTTAAATGTTTTTTTTTTGCAAACCTGTAGATGTTGAACCTCTTTATTTGTACCATGAAATTGAATATAAGTATAGAATAAATATTTAACAGCATTATTTTGTACATTTTCCAAAAATCGTGTGAGTGTGAAATTCGATTTCAAGCAATTTTGAAAATATAATTACTTCTTGTAACAAATATCTTAGTAAATGTCATTTAAATAATAGTCAGTTTTAATAAGAAAAACAATGTGAAATTAAAACACCGTTTATATACGAGGAAATGACGAAGTTTCCGGGAATGCCAACTTAATATTATAAATGTGAATGTAAGTTTGTTTGTTACGCTTTCACGCGAAAACTACTTAACCGATCATCATGAAACTTTGTATACATATTTTTGGAGGTATTAGAACTAACATAGGATACTTTTTATTAAAAAAAAATATTTTTTACGAAAGATTTTCTATATTTATTGTTTCAGGTTAGGTGTCATTTTTGTGGCCCGTATGCCGCCAAAGTTGCACGAAATCAATTAATGCCTTCAATGCGAGCGAAGCCGCGGGTAAAAGCTAGTTCTTTATAAATTTCACATAAAAGAACATATAGGTACACCTTCTCAAATATTTGATATTTATGGTATCTATGAAAATTTGTTAAATTTTTTTATTAGTGAAACATAATTTTCAACTAATCATGATATTAAACCCCGACTATAATTATTATATACATACATGAAGTTCAACATAACAGGTAGTTAGGTACATGCTTAAAAATATTTTTTCCATAGGCTGTTGCGGCCAAATATATACGAAAGGGTGAAGCGAATGACGCCGTTTCTGCTATTTCTCTTTTGACCGGAATGAACCGGGCTATCCCTCGGGAGCTTAACACTTTAAACAATCCTCATAATTGGCACCTTTTATGGATGCTTTTTCTCTAAAGTGCTCGATAAGAAGTCTTCGTGGGACTCGTCTAATTGATTCATTAATTCCAGTGCGAAATGAGGGATGATTTGGCGCAGTGTGGTGTTAATTTAAAGTTACCGGTGTGAAAGAAGTACTAGCTTACTTTGTATAACACTGTATTAATGATTTTTTTTTCATTTTAGTACACTACACAAAAAAAAATCAAAATGTTTAGATGATCTTCAAGTTGGAGTTTGAATCTAGAAGCTTCAAGTTTCAATTTGCTTTTTTTATTGCTCTACGACCATTTTTCGCCTTTGAGGATCAACTAAACATTTTGAATTTTTTTCCTTCAATTTCAGTGACTAGTTTACGTAAGTAATATTACCTAATTAATAAAAAAACACGCCGCAGAAACTTAAACAAATTTTCCAGTACCGGCGAGTGTTTCTTTGTAGATAATCTAATTAGAAAAATGTTCCCGGCAGAGCGACATATGGATACGAAGTTGAACAAGTTTTCCAGTCAGTGAACATATCCAGATAACGATGGGGGTACAAAAAGCACTTGACTCTTAAAGTCTTCGTAATTTGTACGGTAGATCAATAAATGCGGATTACTGTTTGTACACTTGTACTGATTATATGAAAATAAAGATGTGACGTAGATTGATTTGCGGTACAAATTGAATTTTTTAAAGGACCACGGTGCACATTTGATTGTAACGCAACAAAATTCAATGGGAATGAATTCTGAATTTTTTGTCTAATTGGAAGAAAAAGTTGTTGTCACATAAGTATGCGGGCGAGAATTAGATCTTTGATGGGAAGGAAGCTGTTCCTTTGTACGACATTCCCCACATATTTCGAGTGGCGGAGTGGAGGGGGTGCTCAACCTCTTTCTTAAACAGAAGTTCTAAGCCAATGACTATTCTTTTAAAAAACTGTTATTTTCATTATCGACATACAGTTTAACAAAAATAATGTCCCTTCTTCTGCTTCGAAATTCCTGTGCGTTTCCGAATTATTTTGATTTTTATTGTTTGTTGTGGTACTAAATTAAGTACATAATTTATTTATTATTAATTATCGACTAAATATTTAATTCTTTCAACGAAACCTACCTAAAGATGGTTTGTTAAGGATTCTAAAAAGCCGAAATCTCTTATTCTTTATCTCTTTCCAATGTGGTTTAAATAAATATTTGTTATATCAAGCTATACTCAAATACATGACTTTTATAAGTTGAAATCTGTTATATTACATACATACAATACATTATTGTGCAGTTGCCAAAAAGTTTTAAGAACTTGTTAATTAAATATTGTTATAAATTCAAAAAATTTCTCCATAAACATTAACATCAATGTCCATTCAATGTTTTTTTTTTTTTTTGTAATTTAGTTGCAGTACATTAGTATTTACGCAGCACATAATAAATAAGGATTGTTAAAATTAGTATACTAAACAGATTTCAACTTATAACACTCTTGTACTTGAGTATGGCTTGATATAACAAATATTTTGACTACATTGGAAAGAGATAAAGAATAAGAGATTTCGACTTTTTTTAATTCTTAACAAACCATATTTAGGTAGGTTTGGTTGAAAGAATTAAATATTTAACCGATAATTGATTATAAATAAATTAATTTAGTACCACATCAAACAATAAAAATCAAAATAACTCGGAAACGCACAGGAATTTCGAAACAGAAGAAGGGACATTATTTTTGTTAAACTGTATATAGATAATGAAAATAACAGTTTTTTTAAAAAATAGTCATTGGCGTAGAAGTTCTGTTTAAGAAAGGGGTTGAGCACCCCCTCCACTCCGCCACTGTGCAAGTTTATCAACATCCTTATCGCTTGTTTTATGCCCCTTAATTAATAGGCATTATCTCTCAAACATGAAAAAAATGTAAGTAATGTACCTAGCAGTTTTCGCTCTCTTCAGCTGTTTACCCTTTAATAACACGTAAATAATAATTCGAAATAAATTTGAGTGTTTTAACTTGTGTAAATAATAATACGTTAATATATTTAACAGGTTGGAGAGCGAATATATCGCTACAAGAAATTCTAACTGAATAAATAAGTACGACAGTGATCGTATACACGATTTCGTATGATCTAGAAACTTCCAATGATGAATATTGAAAATTGATAGCTTTTGATCTAACATCCTATGAATAATAATCACGAAAAGGTATATTATTATGTAATAGCTAATACGTGAAATACACTCATCTACCTATACGATAAATTTCGATGTAGGTACACCCACTAAAGTTCCCTCCTCTGGCGATATTGAGGCGTAATTTCGGCTTAATAACAAATTCCTCCAGCTTTGTACCTCGTCTTGTCGCCTTTTTCTGAGTGGGTACCTAATGGAAATGGTGCCCCCAGATAAGACGATTTTAATCAAAAACGGAAATGTTAACTTTGCTGGTACTTAAACGGTTATTAGAATAAATACCCGTATACCTACACTGAAAATGATATTTTGTAATTTCACTTATGCGTAATAAAATACCCATTGTTTTACCACAATTTTCTTCTACATTACGGTTTTAGTTTATTTACAGGATTTTTATAGATTTCCAATGTGACATTATGGTATTATTTCTAACTATACCTATCTACTAAATAAAAAAATTGAGATGATTGACTACACACAGAAA